GAAAGAAAAGACTTTGCATTCTTTTTTTTTCAAATGTCCCGCTGTAGATAGACGGTTTCAAATTATTTTAATTCGAATACTCTCAATTCAGAAAACTCGCACACTTTTATCATAAATTCCTCGTCGATTGAGAAACTAGAAGCTTTTTAAAACTCTTCAAATATATAGTAAAACAAATGTTTTTCCATTGAGACGGATAACAATCTACTAACTTCCGAGACGTTTTTCACGTAAGTTTCAAAATTTCCCATACCCGCAATAGAAGAAAACTGTTGCGCAATCTGAGAAAGTGTATCGCCTTTTCCCCTCGTTTTTCCTATTTTCTCTTGCTTCATTCGTCTGCTTTTCCTTGTCTCCCCCGTTTCCTCTGTTTTTCCGAGAGATAACCTTGCCTGCAACATACTTTCGCGTGAGAAATTTCTGCCGTAGCCTGAGCCCGACAAACTTCGTTATAATCTCGTTTGCCTCCACGTGGTGGAAAATGAAAATAATAAATTTCGTCATTAGGTGAGCGAGATCTATCTGGGAAGAACATTTACGGGAGGACGAGAAAAAGATAATTGCTCGGGTGCTTCAGGAAGGATAAACCACTCACGTTGCTAATGTAAACTGACAGGCGTACCCTGGCAGTTGAGACCGGGAGGAGGGGGGAGGGCGGCTTAAAAGTGATGCCCTACCTCAATTTTTAAGCCCTCGGATGCGGAATTCCTATTCGTAGCCCCCCCCAGGTCACTTATCAGATCTCGATGAATAAAAAGCGAACAGAGCAGATGTGACAAAATTTGTCAGTGTACTTAACAGGAGACGATGAGCAAAACAGACAATTCAATCCCCGCGAAACGAACAATTGGATTGCATTTTGCAAAAAAGAACCACTAGCATTGCAATGATGCTAAGATTGTGCAACTTCATCCTTTGCAATAAAATTGCGGAAATTGTGAAAAACTATGAAATTTAGATGGTAACTTTTGTCTTAAATTTACAGTTTTTAGCGAGTAAAATAGAAACTATGAAGGGATAATCGGGTTTTTCCTCCAAGACAAAAGAAGTTGCACAATCTTAGCAACATTGCGATGCTAGTGGTTCCTTTTTGCAAAATGCAATCCAATTGGACTACATTTTGCAATTTGGAACTATAAATTCTGGCTCTTCTGGAAAAACACTTATGTGCATAGGGAAACTAATGGCACATACGTTGTCTTTAAACCGGGCCAGAATTTATAGTTCCAAATTACAAAATGCAGTCCAACTAGTCGTACACCCGATGAGCCGCTATTATATGAAAACGATCGAGTTTCGAGTAAGTATTCGCGTTTTCTTAAAGTTCTCTGCGAACAAATCGATGGTAAGAATTCCAAACCACGCATCTCGTTTGCGGTCTATTAAATTCTCCGCTCCTATTTTAATGTTTTAAAGGAGAATAAAGCAACATCATTCCTTGAAAATTTATCGGAATTTGCTTCGCAAAGAGAAGAGCGAAGTCACGGAAGTTTTTAAGAATTGGCGTCGATTAGTTCTCCATTTAAGAAATCAAGTATGACAGGAAGTCTGCAACGTCGCAAACCGAGATACGTGGTTTGGGACTTATATCTCATTCCCATCCGGTCATTTTCTTGAAGCCTTAACTATTCGTGTTCTCTGGTAATGCGTGAAGTATCCGCCCTTTTTGAAGGCGTTTTTCAAAACTCGATATCAGAGACAAGGAGAGTCCTATACAATTGGTAGCTCGAAAGTGGTGGAAGCTTGTGCTTTTGGGACTCAAATGACGACGAATGACTGACCACTGATTGGTCTCGCTCTTGGCCTCGGGCCAATTAGTGGGAAGAGTTCTCAAGTTTTTCGTATTGAAACTAGAGGCAAGAAGATAGAGTCAATGAGTAGCTAGGATCGATTTCACCTGAGGGTCGTAAATATCATTTGGCAATAACTTTAGCACTACATCAGACAACTGTCAGCTCCATGCGTTTTTAAATATTTCTTTCGTCTACTAACTTGGTTGAAGTTCAGAAACTGTAGGAGTCTAAGTAAACAAAATATCCGAACTTTGAAAGATTAAAAACAATGATAAATCAATATTAAAGTTGTGTTTCGCCACCAAATGCATGTGCTAGTTTTTTTCTTTTTTCGTAACCGTGGAATGCATTTTAGATTAATAGTGCTTTGTTTTAGCTCTTCGCTGAAAAGTGATGTCTCCTGACATCTAAAATAGTGACTTCACTGTCTTTCACTAGAACTTCCCCGAGACAGCTTGAGTTATGGCAAAACCATCACAGTAGTTTGACAATTGTGTAAACTGCCTATTTTAAAGCTGTAATTCAAATAAGGCACTGTATTTAAGAGTGGTTTTACGATAACCGGAATAGTTTTGTCGCCGTAACAGACAACACATTTTTCGGTCATATTTTTAGTAGTAATGATAATCACTGGAACTTTTTTGCATTAATCTACACAGGGTTACGTGTTATAATGCTTTTCAAAGATTTATCGCTCTACTTTTCACTTTTAATATGTAAATGACCGAAAATGTGCTGTCTGTTACGCTGACTTTTTACCGCGTAACAGACAGCACATTTTCGGAATTTAGGTACTTAATATTAATTGAGAAGTAGAACAATAAATCATTAGGAAGCGATATAATATGCAGCCTTTTGAAAATTAATGCAAGAAAATTCGAGTGATTATCATTTCTTCTAAAAATATGACCGAAAAGTGTGTTGTCTGTTACGGCGACAAAACAATTCCAGTTATCGTGAAACCACCTTTAACCACTCTTACTCTATACCATGTTTAACAAAATATTTTTCTCCCGTACCGATGACAGTTAAAATAGTAGTAAAGTAAATTGAAAACTGAGGACACATAACTGTAGGAAATTGCACCATTCCTGCTGATCTGCAATAAATGAGAGGTAGAGTGACATGCCACACACGAAATCGACTTGCGGATAGCAACTTCCAGTTGGATGCAACTAATCGTGCTCAAGTGTCATCAATCTTGCATATACAAAAAAGGGAAGGCGCGTTGGTTTCCAAAGTGATTCGCATCACGCGACCACACCTTGCGAAATCTGAGGGGAGTGATTTTTTTTTTTTCAAAGCGTTCTGGTAGGACTGTTGTACAGCTGAGAGGAAAAGAAAGCTTCCCCCCTTCCCTTCCTTCAACCAAAAAAATGAGCAAATGGAAAACGGCATTTTTCCGTTTGGGTTAAAATGTCATTTATGGGCCGTTGTCACAAAATACTGCACCGAGAGAAAAACTATGGTTAAAATGACCATCATAATGAATAGTGGTGTTCCATGTGAACTTCTACATGACTGCTCGTAGTCATAGTTCAAGGTGGCCAGACTATTTACCCAATTTTGTTTAATCCAAATTCGTTATTGTCCATTTTTAGAGTTTGTCTAATAGTTTTTTCCGTGCAATGCTTTATGAACCAATAGTTTACTTAGTCAAGTTACAAGCAATCGTACATGTGCTGAAATCTCAAATAATGGAATGAAACCCTTAGACGCCCAAGCCGGGTCAAACTGACCCAAGAATCGCTGAAAACACGTACCCCGCGGAGCTTATACATTCGAACTTTAGATGTAGGTCTATACAATTACATCTTAAAAAGAGAACAAGACATCAAATAAAAAAAAGGAGAAAATCAAATATTAACATAACCGAAGAGACGTTGTCTGTTTTTTATAACTTTTCTCCCGAATCAGAGCGACAATTCATTGGCAGCATAGAGCGGAGCATTGCAGCGGTTCACGCATCACGCCATAGCGCCTTCAACTTTTCAGACGCAACACGGACATCCATCAAGCACGAATAGTTGTATCTCTGCGCCGTCATCGAAGCTAGTCCTTTCATACTCTATTTCCGTGTTGTGTCGGTTCCGTTTGTCTGATTTGTAGCGGTGCTTAAAAGGCTACGTGAGCAACACAGACGAAGTATGACTTGAATTAAATTAGTTGGCCAAACTGGGTATCGGCTATTTAAAATTGGGTTAAGTGTCTTGTTACCTAGTTCCATCAATAGTTGTAATTTCACCCCTACGCTGGTAAAATTATTACTCGATGATACACAATCCACTTTTAATCGTTATGGCTACTAGGTACTGCTTCTTGCGAGTTCATAAGTACGGAACACCACTCATGTGATGATTTCAACCGCGTGGTTTTTCCATTGTGCACTTCTCCACAAAAAGAATCTCATGCCGTCAAAATAGTCCTAAATTTATCAAATAAACGCTTGAGCTTACTTGATTTTGATATAAAGTAACTGAGTATTCGCTTCAAATAAATAAGATGATTGCCCAGTTAGACTAGTTATTAGATGCCGCTAAAAATTCAGATTGGAACTTTGTAACAAGGAAGACACACGATATTACAAAACGCAACTTCCTGTCTTTGTTTCATCCCACCCTTGCTTGTAACACACTCACACCGCAAGTCTAGAACATCCCCCCCCCCCCATAAATTATGCAATGTCAAGTATTATTCCCAGGCCCAAATTTTCGACATTTCATGAAATGTAATAAAAAAATGTTCCATCCCCCATTAAAGTACTCAAAAGAGGCCCTCCGAACTCCTCCCCAAAATGAAAATGCCCAATTTTATGAGAGACCGTCATGTAATGATAGATTTCAACCCTGATCTTCCTCAAAGCGCAGGTGTCGTGACTGCCCTTTCCACCCCCTAAAAAAATAAGGAATTAGTATATAGGGTTATTCAAAAGTCACGCACCACTGGCCGAAACTTTAGTTCTCATTATGATATCGATTTGCGGTTTAAGATGTTTTTCCTCATAACGAAGGGGGAAACTTTTTAGGTTCTTTCCAGTTTTTGATGCCCTTGGGGGAAGGGGTGGGGGGCAACTCAAAAATTTCAAATGGCCACCCCCCTCATGGCCAGTGGTAGGTGACTTATGAATAACCCTGTATACACGAGTAAATTACATGATATAAGGATCAGAAAGTAGAAATACTTAGAGTTGATAAGTGGTGAACCAACCTGTTTGAATCCTCGGTACATGACTCTAATCTCTTGCCGGGTGAACTTGGTTTGTCTACACAAATCCTCGAGAGGAACAGGAATATGCTTCGGAGGTCGAAACTGCTCGACTTCGAAAACTACTTCCTCGATGCCCGGGCTGTCAGGAGGGGTCGCCATTTTATCCCGTATTCAACCGATTTCACATTGCGCTGACGGTTTCTGCACGGACATCACTCATAAAACGTGGCACCATTTTCTTTGTTTGAAGTTAAGTCTAACTTGAAAACCAACGACGGCAGTGACTGGTGGGTGATTATTGGCAAATTTGATGAGACACAACCATCAAGATAGGGAATACGTTAAATTAGACACTTTTAAATTAACCTCCAAGAAAAAATTTACGGACAAATTGAAAGATCAACGGAACAGAAAACGAAGACGGACATACATTACAGTCAACATATCACAATTAAAGTCGTTTTGTTTAAATCTGTGGACGACGAGGAGAGGAGGGGAAACTAAAAAATATGTCGATTAATCGGGAGTTTTTTAGACAATTCCTCGGAACCAGGCCAAGCAATACACGAGGGAACGAACTTGCGAACTTTCGCGACTTAATTCGTGTAGCACCGCTGCACTTTTGAATTAAGTAGGTATGTGAATCTGCTAAACTCAAAAAAATCAGCGATCTGAGACTGGTTGTTTTGGTGTGTGCACTAGCGTTAAGTCGAAACGTATCACTCACAAAACTAACTTTTTGCCCGTCTGTTCATTCCTGCTTCGGATATAAATTACCGTCGATGAGGAGAAAGTTCGCTCCCGAGTGGATTTTTTATTACGGGGTGGAAAGGCTTTCACTGCGGAGGGGTTGAGCACGGTGAAAATTGCTTTGAATTGAAAAGGTCGCTAGACTGAAAGCATGATAAGGGCTAAAGGGTGTGCACGCGGGGGCTTGAGCAGCGGTGAGGGAAAATCGGCGAGGGAGGAAGAGCTACCGAGCACAACGAAGAACTAGAATCACGAAAGACTGAGGGGAAAAGCCGTAGAAATAGGGAAGAATTGACATGGTTTCGGAAAAGAGCGAGGAAAAGCGGAGTCGGGAAGCAGCTTTGATTTTATTTACAAGTGGCACGGAGCGGGAACGCCCAGCTCTCCCGACACGCGGTAAATAACTGCGCGGTGAAGCAACGCACTCCGGGGAGGGTTGGAGGGTTGGCGGGCGAGGCGCGAGGGTTGGCAGTTGGCGGGCCGGCCGAGATGAGGTGCGGCAGTGAGCCGAGGATTCACGGGTGCTCGTCGCTCAGGGTCTCACGGACTTCAACCATCGGTGGGTCTCATCGGTCTCACGGATCGGGTCTCATCGGTCTCACGGCTCGGGTCTCACGGATTCGCTCCAAGTCCAGACGCCTTGCCACTGCCCACTCTGAGAGCAGAATTCACAGCAGGTCGTCACTAGACTGAGAGTTGTGACGAAGTCGGTCTCCTGTGGTGTAGTGGTTGTAGCGCTAGCTCTATGATAGGAAGGTCCCGGGTTCGATTCCCGGCCGGGCGACCCGAGTTTCGTGGTCTCGAACAATGGTTGCCTGGGACTGGCTGTAGGGACGGAGGGAGCACGGGACTAAAGCGCAAGGATTAGCCCTCAAGGGCTATTTGAAGTAGTGAGAAAAAAAAATGTGAATCTATTTCTGATGGGTTCCGTATTTTAGGCCTCCACAGTGTCACAAACGGGAATAAAGATTACATTTTCACCGATTACAAAGATTATAATCTGGAATGGACTGGAGAGTTACGGGTTCGGCATGGAGCAAACGGAAGGAGAGAAAGGAGAAAGGAATTTGAGAATGAGCTGATTAAAGATTACGAAAAACTTTTAATTTGTGTAATTTTTGTTCCCGTTTGTGACTCAATAAGCGGGGGGAATTTTGTGACAAGATCTCACGGGGTTGAGTGGTTGAATCTGTTTAAAAATTTCCGCCGCCATTTTATTTTTTTACGGAGAAATTGTTCAACAAAGCTGTCCGAAAATTTCGCTGAATTTTGTTTGGGCTGCCGATAAAATTCAGCGAAATTTTGTAACAGATTCAACCAACAGTTTCCCTGAGAAAAAAAAATAAAATGGCTGCGGAAATTTTGAAACGTCGCATGGCACTTGTGATACTTTGGCTGGAAAGTGACTAGGTCCTCTCTATTTGTCACTCGTTCCAACCCTGGTAGCAACGGCTCTCTGGAAAAACTCGTAAATTTTAAAAAGACCACTAAAAAAACGGTAAAAATTTAAGTTGACCTTTTTTGGGGTACTTCCTAAGCAAAGTTAGCAACCTTAGAGCATAAATTGCATTAAATCGTAGTTACACGGTAGAATAGAAGCGCTTGGTGCAGGAAGGGGCATTTCTTTGTTGTGGTGTCTCAGAATCTCCACTGACGGTTCATCCATTATAATTAAAGCAAATGTATAGAATTTTCTTACGATTTTACAATACACTCAATATTTTTCGCTGAAATATACAGTAGCAGTGGAGATTCCAAAACACCGCAACAAAAAAATTCGCTTTCTGCACCCAACCCATCGTCTCAATTATTGCAAATGCATGGATTGTTGCGTTTTTTGCCTATCTTCTAATTGAAGGGGCCCTACTTATTAGAAGTTATTGCAATAAAATTGGAATATGTTGCTACTTATTTTGCATTGCGAGCTGCTTCGGTCTCTCTAATTCCCTTATTAGATGTCATTTTTGTGTTCCGATTCTTTTATCAAACAGATACAATGCACCCACAAAAATTATTGTAAAATTATTGATCTTGATTTATTTCTAGACCCACCTCATCTTTAAACAAAACCGATTAAAATAGATATGACAATTCCTTCCGTCATTTTGAATGGGAGACCAAAGTAGTATACATAAACAGTTACAGCGACGTATTTTTAACCAACATTTTGTCCTAATTTCTCTCAAAATTGGAGCAGAAAAATCCTTAAAAGTCCTTTCAGAGGCGCTTGCAATTGTAAATTCTGATGACGTATTTTTAGGCCAAAGTGTTCCCTTCCTTTTCTCTCAAATTTGAGCAAAAATATCCTTAAAATTACCTTTCAATGGGGCTACAATTTTAAAATCTTCCAGAGGACCACTCCGGCAGGGAATTTGATCCTGCTAGTTATCTCCTCAATGTCAGGGAGGCCTGCGCTGTAGACTGTGCCACAACTACTGTTTCACTTCTACGGTAAGTTTCTTCGGGTCGTTGGTAGTAGAAGAAATGACATTTAATTCTATTTTGAAGTGATGAAGTTGTATTTTGCTATTTTTCTCAATTTGCATTACATTTTAAACATTCAAGATACAAACATACTGTCTTAACATTACGCATTCACAAACTGAAGAACTAAAAATATGTTATAATACAATTCAAAGAGAAACAAATGATGCTGTTTGGGTAAGTATGATTGCCAAAATTTAAACTTGACGAGCAACATAACATAAATTTTTAGAGGTCGTGGGGGAGGAGTCAATAGCTGAAAGCACGCATACCTTTTGCCACCTTTTGGAAGAAAGTGACTTTACTGCTTTGAGGTGCACTTTACATTGAGGAAACTTTTTCAGTCCATGCTTGGATCGAAATAGAAATTCAGAAAAAAAGATGCATGTAATGATGCAAAAGGTGAAGAAAATGTACTAATAGTCATAGCAAAAAAAAATTATACAGGCTGCCAAATTAAAGCCACTGCATTTCTATCCTTCGCCTTTTTTCTTTTTACTTTCTCGGTTCTTATCAAAAAGCCTATTTTCAGGGGGGATTTTTTCTGCTGTCAGACATGAGTCATTTGGCTTACCATTACATAATTTCATAAAAAATTGATCAATTTAAATTACTGTTTCCATACCGAATCATCTCAATAGAAAAACCTTATTTTGCCATATTTTTAGTGAATCAAGGTGATTCAACCATTTCATATTTCATGGATCTACTTAGAGGTCTCAACTCTCCTGTGGAAAGTTTTCAAAGAGTTCGTATTTTTTCCAAACCTTCTCTTTGGTCTGTTGGAAAGTCAGGCTAATTAAGGCAGATTTCAAGTATTTTTCACATTTCAAATTTTGGGATTATATTGAAGAGAACTTAAGAACATGTTGTACCTCACAAACAATTAACAAATATTTCCTCTACCCGCAAGGGGAGCGAGAAAGTGAAAAGGAAAAAAATAAGGAAAAATAGATGACCAAGACTATGGTGCAAAGATTTTAAAGTCACGCTTTCCCTTTTTCTGTGTTCTTTTTTTTCCGGTCACATTAAAGGCTTTTTGTTTTCTGTTTGTTTGTTTTTTTTTTTTCATTTTTCCTATGATTGTATTACACAAATACGCATTTTAACATCCCTAAAAAATCAAAAGGTAAAAAAAAATATGATAAAAATAAATGAGAAAAATTTGACCACAATTGGTGTAATATAGCTCGCATAACAAAAAGGGGAAACACAACTGTGGGTTCCTTGAAACTTACGTGATAAATGGCAAAACTGTCCACTGCAAGATAAACCAGGAAAACATGTTTGCTCACCTACTTTGATAAATATGATACGACTATTTAAAGTTCAGAATTTGAGAACAAAACAGGGACAAAAATGGAATTCTTCTGCATTTTTAATTTGGTCTAAATGGAATTTTTTCTGATGGAAACACTTCTCATAGGACCATCATTCTTGTTGGTAGGGTAAAAGAGTTACAAAGCCTTCATGCAGCAGCCATTTATTTTCGCACTATTATTTCTGACTGGTTAGCCGCTTTTAGCTGATTTGGGGCCACTCTAGGCTAATGTTTGGACTTTAGAAAGCAGAAAGGCACGACCTGCTATGGTTCTGTTATTCATGAATATAATTTGAAATACCCAATGATTTACATAAGTCAAGGTTAATGTGGACAACATTCATTTCTAAGTTCGAGGATGGATCCTTGAAATTTTCTAGGAAAAAAAGAAAAATTCTGAATAATGCGTCAGTTTCCAGTGAATAAAAGTCGATTTTTTTTTTTTTTTTTAAATGCCCTCATATGAGAAAAAACCTCTCCAGAGATGTTTGGTTACTCAAAAATTGGGGCAATTCAATGTAGAAGTAAAAACAGTAACAGTTATAAAGAAAAACAAACTGATATTACAATCCAAAAATACAGAAGGAAAGTAAAATCAGGTACTTAAAAAACAGTGATGATTGATTGATTTGCACTGATTTGGTCCTAAACCAGTCACAAGTGGATAACAATTTTTAATCAAAGTTCCCATGCCATTAGGATCGTAAAAATATGACACAGACATATATTTTACGATAAGAAAAGGCTCCCATTTCCTCTCCTCTCTCCTCCAAAAAAAAAACCTCCAGCTTTACTGATTAAAACTTTCAGGCCAAGATAATAATGAACATGATTGGTACGGCGACATTTGAAATTACAGTAAAGTGCGTAATTTCAGCCACTATGTTAAAAGGCTAAACTGTAAAGGTTTTTATTATTTAGTGGAAAATATTACCGACATAGGGGCATGAATTCTTCACCTCATCATAAGACAATGGCTTAGTGAGTCACAGAATTGTTAAAGTTTAGGCGATGATAGAGATATTACAGCACTTTAATGGTTAGAGGGTTTTGTTGTATTCATAACAACTTTGATTGCCTTGATCAATGATAGTGTGTGAATAAATTAAACTTAGGTCTAAGAAGAGAGACTATGAATTCGATGTTTTTTACAAGACTAGAAAGAGTCGCATAAAAAGAAATAAAGAAAAATAAAAAAAGGAATAATTCACATACGAATGAAGCTAGTTGTGAAATAATGAGACAATACAAACAGCAAAGATAAATTTCAATTCAGACAAATTGAAAAAGCTTGTTTTAGACTTAACTAATTATTCAGCAAAAAAAAATGGAAGAAAGGGCTAATAAAACAAATGAACAAGTAACAAAGCATTGAAAAATCTAATTAAGAGAGAAAACATTATCAAATTTTCAAATGATTACTTTTATAATAAGCAATCATTTGTCATTCTTCCTCTAAGCATTCTAATTCTCTCTCCCAATATAAAATGCCTCATGTGAAATTAGACGCTTGCCTATTGGCTAGCACAGATAATTACGAATCTTAGGGATGACAAAGTTTAAATACTCCACCAGAGATTTTGACGTAGGTAAATGAAAAGAAAATAGGGGAATTTCCTTCTTTCAGTCGAGAGAGAGAACAGACCTACATTCTGCAAAAAGAAACTACTGTTTTCGGCTCATCCATAAAAACACCCATTTGCACAAGGAAACTAATTGCGCATACACTGTTTTGTTCAGCACAATCAAGTCCAAGTTTGTATCATTGATGACCAGTCCCCCTACTTTTGGCTACAAGGATGGTTGCAATTGAAACACTCAGTTAGCTCACTTAAATGGGTCAGTGTTATAACAGCCAATCTCTATTTACTTGATCAGATATTAATGACTTTGAAAAATGAAGAGGCTGCGCACATAGTGAAAACAGATGTTAATGAACAAAAGAAGGTTGGTTTGAAGACACAAGTATACAAGACATGTGACGTTCAGATGAAGGCCGATTTACAAGAGCTGCTTTACAGAGTTGCTTTTAGGAGTATTGCATGATTGGTTTGAGGATGGAGAGTCTGAATTTACTATCCAATGAGTCATACACAAGAAAGGTTTGAGCTCAGCTCAGCATGGCAGAACACATTTCTTGAAGAATTTCTTAATTTTTTAAAATGGAAAGATTTTTAGGTCACATTTTGTGAAGTAATAATATCCCTGATGAGGAGAGCTTTCATTCTTCATTTGCCATTAAAAGCAGCAAAAAATTATTGTCCCCAGGTTTTAGGAGTAAAGTCAAGAAAAGAATATGAATACAATAAATAACAGCAAAAATTACTTTACAAAAGAAAATTAGATATTTTGATTCTTAAAGTAAAACATAAAAATATTAAAAATTATGGAGGTACTGAAATAAAAGCAAGGGGCCTTGGGGAGAAGAGTCTGTTCAACTGCGATAAAATTTCAACAGGAGCCAAAAGTGAAGATTGACAGACATTGAAAATGCACTTTTCAATGCTAAACACATTGGACTGGGGCTCAGCTTGACATGGTCTAACAAGATTTGCTATACAAATTTGAGGGAGGGGGCATTGGATAAAACATAAAAATAAAAAACTAATGAATGAATCTGTCAGCCTGCTTTAAAATTCAGTCTAAAACTGAAGTACCAGAGAAGAGGGATCATCAAAAAGATATGCGCACGTTGGCAAAATCACTAACACATTGTCTAAACAACTCATCTGCCAAACCGTAATTCTGCTCACTAAATGAATAAATGCTAATCTATTTCACTGATCTATTAAGAGGGATTCTTCATCAGGAATGTGATTTTTTAAGCTTCCTTGTGATAAAAAAACGTACAAAAGGAAGAAATTAAGAAATGAATTAAAAGTTTAAATTGCCTATGATTAAAATTCACACATTTTATTGAAGTTCAAATGCAGTGTCAATAAAATGCATGGCGAGAGAAAACTCCAACCATTTAAATCATGAAAGAACAGACTTGGTAAAAAAGACTCATAAATTGAAAAAAAATTGGACTTAAAAACAGAGATATCTTGATAGCTTTTGGCATTTCTAGTAGCTTCTCAAAACTTACTGTCACTGACATAGGAAAGTAAGTGATAGTGAGTTTTTAGGATGACTAAAAACTTCAATAAGGCACATCAAAACCACCTGCGTCTTGTTATCAAGTGACTCGTTATATATCTTGTTTGAAAATGGTATCCTTATATTCCTCAGTATTTGTTTCTTTTTCAAAACATTCTACATTTGAGTTTCTAAAAACCATCAAATCACTGTTAGATGAATAAAATGATAATTCATACCTGGTTAATTTACCATGGTTTAACTGTAGATTGGATTGCAGAACAGTGGATGTTGCCTTGAGGAGAGGATTTTTCTTTTGAGTAATCAGCGCAATCACAATATTTCAAAGGATTCATAGAGGAACCAAAAAACTTTAATTTGGTTGATTACAGTTTTAGGGACATATTCAAATCATTCTTATTATTTGAAGGTTTTAGCAAGCCTTTACAAGTTAAAAAAACAAACATAGAAAGCAGCCCTTGGAGTGAATTGAACGGATAAAGAAATGGACCAAAATGGACAGAGACGCAAAAAGCCGGACTTCGGAATAAAAAAATGATTTAGAGGTGGCTTTGAAATGAAGTAAACGTAAATTTTTTCCTGTCAAAAGTTCAAAGTTGAGGAGAAATGTTTTGAATGTCAAAATATTCTTTTAACTTTGACCCCAAGAGTGAGTCTTACGGAGGTATAAAATGTCAAAGCTCATTTTCTTGGTTCAAACTTGGTGCGTTTCTGTTAAACTGGGTCCACATGTACTACATTAAACATGATGTCCATGAAAAAATGACAAATGAGATATCCTACCATGAGTCGTAAATGGGAAGTATGCTTGCCTACCAATAACCAAACTTAGGAATAGCTTAACAAAAGTTTTATGTACCTGAGATCGATAGGTGATGTGTAATTCAGTAAAAATGTACACTAGAATAGACTTATAATGAATTCACTTACATGTTAAGAAAATTTTATGAAATTAATGTTTATGGATGACCATATATTACTGACCCCTTCAGTAAAACTGTCTGGAGTGAAAAATGCATATATAATTGACAAATTGTGCTTTCTTCGTAGTTGATTCACTGAAAACGGAAGTTTTTGATTTCAGTATTGAATTGACCACCAATCGGTCACTTGTGCCCGCCACAGAATTGTTTTGAGATGATTTGACTTAGAAATTAGCAGAAATTTATACGATCTGTTTAAACATCAGGTTCCAATGTCCAATATTATCAAAGATATCACTTATGGTATTAGACATAATCTACTGTAGTAGCACATACTGCGGTTTCTTCCACCTTGATTTCATTAATGTTTCACATCAAGTGACCCGCTCAACTGTATGTAACACTAATTGATGAATTTAAGGTAGAAGGAACCATGGTATGGATTATGGATGGCGTCACGAAGGTTGATGGGGATGACTCTCCTGGTAGTACTAAAAATTTCGCCAAATTAGGTAATCTTTGTCTTGAGTTCGTACTCAGCACAGTTTTTTCATTATTTGTTTCAGGTGTATGTTACCAAAGATATTCACACTCATATTAGCAAAATGCAAATAAGTACCCATCAGACTTCAAATGTGTTTGTGACAACAAATGTCAAGCAATCTGTTCAACTGTGTGTATCACTGATTGATGAAACTGAAGTGGAGAAAAATTTGATATGCACTATCGCAGTGGATGAAACCATAATAGGTGTTCTTTGATGAGTGATATCTCCATTATTAATGGATGTAGAACTTCTACATTTGGACAAATCTCATTAATTTTTGCTAATTTATAAACTTGAACTATCAAAACTTTTTTCTGTAACAAGTACAATTGAATGACACGGTTAAAATTTGGCTGAGGACCGAAACGACTGCTGAAGAAAAGAGTGACATGACACGAAAGATTAAAAGAACATTGATCAGAACGTTGAGCTTTCAGTCCTATTTATTGCTCGGTTGCACTTTTAAAATGCCTCTGTTTCAATTCAAACTTGAGGAGATCATTTGGAAATGGGAGAAAGAGTTTTGCTTCTACAACAGCTTTCAGTAAAATAAATACAGAAATTTTTTCGATGAAATCTACTGAATAACCATGATAAATGGGACAACCTCTTCCCACACACACTCTTTGTACTTCACAAGTCATTTCCTGCAGATTTTACAGGAAATCTGAATTTGATACCATTGCACCGACAAATTTGATCAACTATCTTTAATGATCTTTGAATGACTCACTATACTGAAAAATGTGTAGCACTGTGAAGCTAGCAAAATTAACACACAAGCAAACAGTTAATGGAAGGGAACTACACATAGTCGTAAAGGTCCAGAACTGTCATCCATGTTAATTATTTTCATATCCCCAGTACCTCTCAGTTCCTCATTAATTGATATTTGTTATTTTCTGTTACGCTTTCTGACTAAGGTTTTTTCTGACCTTGCAACCCAACATTTTTACTTCTTTCCATGTGCTCATTTGATCCCTTAAGACTTAAGGAAGACACGATGGTAAACATTATTAAAATACTACATTGAAGTCCTTTCTAGAAAACTGTAATTTGAAAATATCAGGATATAGTCTTTAAACAATTTTCCCCAAGAATCAATATGACAAACTCTGAAGGTGCAATGGTAACTTTTCAGTCATGAGATGAGCTTTGAGGAACGGCATCCGCTAAAAATATAGGGTTACCATTCAACACTGTGTTCAAAGAATTCTTTTTGGCTTTCATTCAAACATCTGAAATGACATGATCATGATGTTCAATTAGAAAAACTTTGTGACACTTAATGATTTTAAGGTCAACTTTTGGCTCTATTAACAAGTTGCGCTCTTTGAATACTTTAATGGGAGAAGTATAGGGGTTATGCTGAAAGACAGAGTTTGGTTGAACCAAGATTCTTCCAGCAGAATTAATGAAACAAATTTTTTTTTGGCACCACAAAACTAAAAAAAAATAATAAATAAATAAATAAAAGAAGAGGGAAAATGAATATCACAGTTTGAAATAACAGGAAATACGAATCTTCGATGATTACGAATTGAAAATTCAATTTTCAAGGGAATCATTAATAGATTGAAACAGGCACCAGGGAAGTACAAGTCACCAGTACTAAAATTACAATTCTTCAGAGAAAAGTCACCTATGCTAAAATTTAAGTTCTGAAAGGAAAATAAATAAAATCATAATAGGATGCAATTTTGAAATTTCCAACAGAGCTACAGCAGCATCTTTAAGATTGCTGAAAATGCAAACAAACAAACAGGTTTCTGAAAATTCTGAGCAAAGAGAATGTGTATATGTACAAGCAACTTTTACATGCTCCTCAGAAGAAAAAATAATTATTTTCTTAAAAAAGGTTAAGAAGATAAAACTAATTATAATAAAAGAAAAAGAATAAATTAGAAATCAAAGCATAGAAATCTTTGGCACTGCTTACAAATAAAATTCAAACCTACCTAGGATTCAAATTAAATCTGAGCAAGAGCAGTCTGCACAACTATACGGATCGTTTGAGAGGAGAGACACATCAAATGATTTTGTACGATATGAGAATATACCAGGGTAAAAATGTACAAAAGAAAGGAAAATGAAGTTGACAAGAGCTTTAAAAGCGATTAAGTGTTGGAGGGGAACAACATCTAACCAGACTTAGAGTCTGAGGTCTTCTTTCAACGTTATTCACGCTGTTGACTGTCAATTACAATATGCTGAAAATTTACAAGGATTTTGGATGTAACTAAAATTACAAAATTCCAAAACATTTGAAAAACTTCAGTCATGTTTCAGTCTATTTTAATAAATTATAAGATGCTACAATGTGAGAACACAGCGCAGAAAAGCAACTTTTAACAACCAATTTTTGCCCTCAAAACGGTTAAAACTAAAATAAGGCATCTCAGAGAATGATTTGTACAAAAACTGAAAATGTAAAAGTATGGAAAGTAATACTAATACAAATGATAAATCATAAAAAGCGAGTCAAAAATATTTAACTGCAAAATTACCTACTGAATGACATAGTAACACACATTAACGGATGATTGAAAAATCACGATAGCCTCCACAAGAATAAACCTACAACTGATGATCCGTAACTTCACCTGTATCAGTTACTTCAAGTTATGATATGGTTCTTACTTTTAAACCGACCTAAATCAACTTTAACTCAAATTTTCTACTTGCATAGCACTTAGAAGGGATTAAAACATAATATTCTTAGTTCTAAGAAACTCTATCAAGTTTTTGACTCGCTTTTTGAATGTACAGTAATACCTCGGTTGTCCTATGATTTATAACGGAAGCTTGAGTTGGATATCTAAAATGCTGCATAATCAAAAATGCATTAAACGCTTAAAATGACATTAAATATATATGAAATATGCATCCACAAATGCATGATAATGCATTAGATATTAAGTTACCCACACAAAACCGTTCATCTGTCACGACACCTTCACTAACCTCGTAACGGCTGCCAAATTTCTCTTTTAAAGGCAAATATTAGCGGGTCGGCTATGTCTCATTGTCTTGTCGGAAAAGTGATAAGTAGACAATCGAGGTATAACTATACTAACTAAAAAGAGGGGCAGATAAAAGAGCAAGCTGAAAAGGATGGCCAGCCATTTTTCTGGCATAATATTACTCGCACTACTTACAATAAATTCTATCGATCCGACTAATTTTGATTTGCATTTTGCTTTTTACATGTGTCAAAACAACCACAGACTTTACTCTCTGTAAATATAAATTATCTAATGGAAACTTTGGCGCTTTTATTGTATGTAGCATGAATTTGACTATTTGATACACACAATACAAGAAAATTAGTTATGAGACCAATGGCAATAGAATACAAGAATGTTGACAAAAATGAACTACTTCTAAAACCTGAAACCATGGTTAGTCCGTTACTTGTTTACTTTCATCCCTTCTTGAAAAAGCAGAATTGCAAAAGCTTTTCAAGTTTAAGGATACTTGAAATGAAAAGTGCATTAACTGAGCCACGTTTATCAAAAAGAAACTGGGTCCGAAGACATTTTTAGATAAGCTCCTATCTGCATCAATAGCAGATATGATGATTCTGAAAAATCCAAAAGAGTTTCTTTCTGCTAAACTCAGATTGATGACAAAACATGAAAAAGTCGTTTTTCACTGTAAGTAACAAATTGAGGGGAAGTGGTATAAAAGAGCTATAAAAAAAGTCATCGAGTCACATCAAAGATTGTAAGTTGAGAAAATACTATCAAAATAACAATGTAAAAGTAGATTTTAGAAGTAGATACGCCATTTCTTCTTAATTCTTCCACCTAATTATTTTTTCTCCCTTTTTTTTAAATTGATGAGAAACTTGTTCAATTCACATATGATCTTGACTAACTTAAAGTTAATTTTTCATTATCGCCAAGTTCCACAAAATAGGGCGTAACAATTGGAAAATATGTACTTTCATAATCTTACCTATGCTTGCACGTTTGAACCATTTGTATTTGTATATCCATTGGTAAGACTATGATTCAAATTGCAATTTGCATTTGTTGGAACTATGGCAATATTTTTCCTGGCTGCAAGACCTTCCAGCGCTTGGTACAACAAAAGATAGTCATTCTGCAACAAAAATGAGTAAAGGTTCAGGAGAAAAATGAATCAAAAAGTATACAGACCTCTGCAAAAGGAAGTCTAGGAGATGGTCAAGCTGAAGCAAAAATTAATCATTTTAATTCACGAGAGAAATAAATTTGGTTCACACATGCCTCTCCAAGAGGAAACCACTAGTAGATAAGAACCACTGAATGGAAGGACATTATCTACGGAAAAACATGAATATTGAATGAGCAACATGAATGAACACCATACAGAGTTTCAATCAGCAAAACATTATTTTAATACAAGCCGCCCAATTATTGTATCTGAGTTGTTACGACAAGAAGAGACATGGACCTGTCTAAAGTATGAAATAAATCGCATTTTGATGTCTCATTAACTTGTAATCATCGGCCTGTAAAGGTTGCAATAGGTTCCAAATTGACCCTAGAGGTTTCTGACAAGTTCCTTTCCTAGAAATTGCCTCACTTTCCAACATTATTCGAAGGATTAATAATTTTTCTTTCTCTCTCCTCCTCAAACTTGACGTGATTTGGAGAGCTCAAAAAACTTTTCAAGTGGTTAGATTTGTCAGCATATTATTGGAATTTTTCCAATTATAACTTAGGTGGTTGTCGAGAAGTTTTTGCACCCCTGAGACCGTAAACCAGAGTTTTACAGCAAAAATTGTGCATGAGACACTGTATATGCAATGACATCAAAGGAGACTTGATGGTTTGTAAATTCATGGACTCCAAAGTTACTGCACTAGGCAAAAATACTGTACGGAAAATGTACAGCATACAGGACTTTTTCTCTTAAAATGGAGAAGAATACAAACAGATAGATATTTACGAGAAAATTACTTACGACTGATTTCCAAATACCAGGACGCCTGTTATGGTACATTTTGGCATACATGCAAACATCAGCACTGTTTTCATACTCCAGTTGTTTGCTTAATGTTGCCAAGCAGCAAAATGTAGCTGCCTCTGTTCCACCAAACCTGCAGGAAAATGATAAGGTAAAATTTACAAACATCTCTTCAATCTTGATTTATTCACTCTAAAGAACAAAATAATAATATGAAACTCGATTTTGGATATCAATGGCTGAAGTTGAAGCAATGCATATTCCGGATGGTAATGTTGTAACCCTTCTCTAATATTTTATTTTTTTAAAGAGAAACACACCAACAGGCTCAATTGAAATTTATTAGGAATTTTTTTCTTTCATTTTAAAAACATCATACAAAATTGTGAGGAGAAATTTTGATTTGTTTTTCTTGAATAAAATAAAACATGATTACGAATTCTTAGTCCACCAATAGTACAGATCCGTTAATTTTCTAGAAACTTTGTTTGGTCTTATTGGCAATTTTAAAATGTATAAAGGATAAGTATTCCAATTCATATGGATACAATTGGGATAAAAACCTAAAGCGTTACCAGATTCACCTTATTTTGCTCAATAATGCTACGCAGAAAGAACCTAAATGGACTGTGTTATTTTTGTGTTTTTTACTTAAATTTTTTTCCTGCCAAAATACCTCAGTATATTCCTCCTTTGTAAAAATGATTGAGACGATCCACAATCTGAACTAACAATAAGTTGTGGCATATGTAGTGTCATACAATAATTTGCAATTACTTACTTGTCTACTACAACAACAGGTCCATTTTGATATTCTAAATGCCACTCTTGAACAATTTCAAGAAGTTTGTACAAAGACTCAAGATTGGAAAAATAGTTTGAAGACTGAATTATGCGTACGGATAATTCATAATCATCTTGCTGCGAATGCACAGTAAAGTCCCTTGTGATGTATCCATCTAATTCGTTATGCTCTATGCACTTAACCTTAAAACTATCACCATCTAGAATTTCTTCAGGCTCTTGAGGCCAGAAAATTCCATACTCCTGAAATGGTAAAGGAAAAATAAATAGGAACTCCATAACTTTAGTCATAACAAGTCAGAAATAGAGATGAAAGTGGAAGGTTTCCGGATCCTCAGAATTCCTAACTAAAATTGACTTTCCTAGGGAAAGTTGATGGAGAGACATACACATGCTCCCATACACAAAGTATTTACTTACAATTTGAAAAAAAATTAAAACTTTTGCAGGAAATCAAATGTCTATTCCGGACATTAAACTAGAAACTTCATTTCTAGTCCAAAACCTTAGTGCGATACATATGACTCAAAAAATGTAAAAATCAAAGAGAAACGACGCACAGACAACACAAAGACAATTCTGAACTCAATCTCATTGCAAATTTTAGGGAAAAAAAATAATTGATCATTATTCAATATTTTACCCAGGCTATTTTCATTAAAAACTTGAAGTAAAGGTATTTTTAAGACACCAAAAACATCTTATGATGTCGTCTCATACAACAGAGATCAATTGTAAAATGTTTAATAATAACAAAAATTTCAAGTAGAATAGAAAGGTAGCAAAGGGGCAGCAAAAATTATAACTGTTTTCTTACCTCTAGGGAGTTTTCAGGGTCAGTTAATAAAACAATAGTTTGAGCATTATGGTCCCAAATCATTTGCCAAAAATCTAATACTGTTGATTCTAAAGGATGCTGAGTTATAATAAACTCACGTAACTTCTTAAAACCTGCAAGAGAAAAAAAAAATGCATTATTTTCCCTTACTTTCTTGCAACCAACAATCAAGCTAGCTTCTACTTTGAAGTAGGCCCTGCTCTTCACCATTCAGGTCATATTACGTAATTAAGAGTAAGTACTTAAGCATCTTCATTTTTTATCCAGTTTATTTTACAAACTTACAAACAGGCTCTGTCACCCAGGTCTGTAAGAACAAAACCAGGGGAAAACACCAACATGGCAGTGTTGAATGAAAAATGAATCAACATTATAAGTGTAGAGAGTAAGAGTAACTCTCTTCATTTTTTATCCAGTTTATTTTACAAACTTACGGCCAGGCCCATTGAAAAATATAAACATTATACGATGCAAAGCAAAATGAGTGCTAATCTTTAAGAACAAAATGAGGAGATAACACTGAAAAGGCAGCATTACAGACACAGCTACACATTACAGATGAGGCATTAGCAGCTTCTTGTTGAAATTTTAATGGACAATCACCTTTGTAGAGAATGGAACCATGTATAATGCAGGTTTCGCAGTCACTGTAACCTGCGCACAAATAAGATCTCAAAATCACTACGAAACATTAAAATGTACTCACCTAGGCACCACGAGGCATTGATATAATCGCTACCATCAATTCCTGGTTTGGGTGTAAGATAAACTCTACTACTTTCTACTGGAAGTAGATCTTTATTTCTATTTTTTGGTTGATTACTTGATTTATTCGCACTCACTAGATTATAATCTTTCGGCTCGTACGAAATGACCATCTGGAACAAAAAAATTAAGATGAAAATGTTTGAACTGCATAATCTAAGATAGATGGAAAACATCAAAACGAATAAAGCACATTCTTAAGAAAAGTGACGAAAAAAAATGTGTAATTGGACGTATTTGACTGTAAAAGATCAATGTGCAAATGGGTTAAAACCAAAGATTGTGTGCTTCTTGGTTTTTCCCCCTCTTTTATTCATTTTTATATAGTTTTTTCCGACACAACTACGGTTCATTGAGATTAATATTGATGCCATCGCTTGGAAAAGGTTATTTGCCACATTTTGAAGACGTAAATATTTTTAAAATGAAGTAAAATTTTCATTAAAAAAAAAATAAAAAAAAAGGTACATATGAGGTATATTTTATATTGAAAATTGTAAGGATAGAAATAAAACAAAATATTCACCAATGACAATTTAAAAAGATGAATCAAAAGAAGGAAGTAACATTTCATTGAGTTACCATAACAACACCTCCTTCCCTCTCAATTTTCTCATTTCGATATTGTCAATATCATTTTACATCCGGACTAAAATATAACGCTTGGACCAAGTCACTTCTCAAAACCCTCAATACAGTCAACATTCCATGAATTATCACATCAACAATCAAAACAAACACATTGATATTAATTTTCCTGCAAATGACAGAAACATGTGAACCTTCTTCTTCTGGTATTCATCATTCAATGAACTAAAGTTGCATTCCTTGTTTGAAATGTATTCCTCTGATCACCATTCAGGGTGTCACTCAAGGCATTATGCCCCAAACTAAACAGAGACTCGGTTTGATTGTGTGGACACAGCTGATATTATTGGATTTCAAAAATCAAATTTTTTCAAATTTCAAGTCACATTCATGAAATTTCTAAAAATTTCCCGGATTTCCCTGACCTGATAAAATTCCATGACATATCCCGGTTTTCCAGACCGGACACCCTGTAATATCTGAATTTTAAGTTACAACAATCAATTCTTTTGTGCAGGAGAGTGTCAATACATTAGTTGCTTTGTCAAGTCTTACGAATCAGTGTTTCATAACTGACTATTTTTTACAGACTAGTGAGTCCTTGAACACCTGCATTGAGAGTTTGCAAATGTTACAATAGTCGGGGGCGATGAATATGGCCCTAACAAAGAGATAAAAAAAACACACACACACAGAAAAAAATTAATTTTAAGCCATGAAAAAGAATAAGAAAAAACAAAGATGCCTACCTTAAAATGCACTTCCAATTGTTTCCAAGCTTCAGTTGTTGTATCAGTTGGATTCTGAAGGATCTCCAGCATCGTCTGTTGACCTATATGAGTTTGACTACAGTTAATTGCCTCCAACAAAGCATCATGAATGAAAATATACTGTTCTTCAGTCTGAACTAGAAAGTTTCGTTGATTACGAATATGATGCAGGAATTTGCAAATACTGACTTCCCCTTTGTGACGAATTTGCTTCAACATAGCATCCAAGACAATGTAAGTCCCTGTCCTGCCTACGCCAGCACTGAAAATCAATCATAGACAAAAACAGATATTAAAATTGAAAGCATCATAACTCTTACCAATATTCTTGAGAGTTTAACTAAACTTCCTAGTACATGGGTCTCAATGAAACAAGATTTATAATAAATATTTTTAAATTAGAGGGATCTAAGTCGAAAATTGTCACAGCTAGCTAATTAATACATTGACTGCCACGCTTACTTACAGAGGCCGATAGTGACTGGTTCCACAAGACTTCAAAATCGGGAGAAGATAGCGGTTAGTTGACTCCATGCAGAAAGCTGGCAAGGAATGTAAAAATCACTATGTGACAGCAGTGGTGTACTCTGTGGTACCATTCAATCGTACAGCAAGCGTGTGGTAGAATTCAGAAAGTTACCAAGCTAGGACCCCCACAACTGCTGGTCCTTACTGACCGGCCTACTGGCTTTGAGGAACGGACGACCAAAAAAATTTTGGCAGTCAAAGAGTTTAGTACAAACAGTTGGTCTCCTTTGGTGTAATGGTTGTAGCCTTTGCTCTATAATAGAGAGGTCCCGGGTTTGATTTTCTGCCAGGTGACCCGAGTTTGATGGTCTCAAACAACGGTTATCAGGCTCTAGCTTGACTAGGGATGGTAAAGCGTAAGATTATCCCTCATGGGATATTTGAAGTAGGGGAAAAAATCCAATTGCAGTAGAACATAAGATTATCTTGATTCATTTAACTTATATTCTAAGAACATAAATAGTTAAACATTAGGGGGAGTCGAATTTCCTATCCTAGCCCATTGTAGTTTATCCAACTTCAGTTTTCTTTTCCTCAGAGTCTAGTGGGTCTTTTATCATCAGAATCATTTGTTTTGTTGAATTCCTGACACTTTCAGGATGAATTTAACACAGAGACGTTCCAAAATGTTTATAATTGGAATTATTAGAAATTTTCTCAATTTAATAATATTGTTTTTCAAAAATATTGACTTTAAAGTGTCCTCAAAATTTGAAAAATCAATTTATCATGAAAAGCCTTCGTTAAAGTGTGCAGACGAATACGAGGAATCAAATAAAAAAGTTTCTGAGGAAAGACCCACTAGCACCTGAAAAAAGGTACATTTTTTTTAAAAGAAACTGACTTACAGAAAACTTGATTTGAATTTTTTGATAAGAAAAACAGTTGATAGCTGATTTAATGGTAAAACGCCTTGACCTTCACTCAGTACTGTAAAGTCAAATTTCAGCATTCATTCAGGATTGAAATTTCCTATTAAACTTGTTTGTGTAAACAGATGCATAAAAATATTACCTGCAATGAACAACTATTGGGCCAGCATCTGAAGGATTGGCGTTTGAGGATTTTTCTACGAAACTAAGAACTGGCAATGGATGATCAGGCGTTCCATGATCAGGCCAGTTGGTGTAGTGATATTGAAAAACTATTCGTTCTCCACCACCGCCATTGCTATTTTTTCTTTTGGCCTAAGGAAGGAAAATCAAAGTTCATTACACACAAACAAAGACTGCAGAAAAAGCCATTGAAAATCTTTATGATACTGCTGATTCAGGCAAAAATAGAAAAGTGAATTTGTTTTTAGAATTCATTCATACTTATTCATGCCCATTCATACATTAACAATCAGCAAGTCCAAATGTGTTCCTAGCATGAGCCAGTTCAACTCTGTAAAGAACACACTTATTTACAACTTTTTTGCATGAGCTGATCCACAGTTCCAAAAGGAATAAACCGGCCTATTGTTTGCTGCGATACTTGGATTGTACAGGGAGTCAATTTTTGCGACGCGGAACTGAATTCCAAAAGCAACATCTTGGGAAACTAACAACAAACTGGCAACATGTGAATTATGGGGTAAAAACATTTTTTAACCTAGTTTAAAAGTTTTTTGATTTTTCATCGACATTTGCACATTTTTGCACATTTCCTAGCACAGAGGGAACAAATCTGTAAAATTTTTGGCGGTGAACTTGTTAAAAAACAAACCTGTAATGTCTCAAACACAGCAAACAATTTTCTTCGCCAGAAAGACAATTTCACCCTCTAAATCTATATCTTTTTAGGGAAGGAAACTTAAAGAGACTAAAAAGGAGATAAAAAAAGGGCTTACTCTTAAATGAGAAATTTCTAGAGTCCGAACAGTGTACATAGCCATGATATCTTCTTTGATCAATGTAACCTGAACGGAGCCGTATGTTTCAGTACCTTCTTTTGGCCAGTACATGTCACATTTCCGCTGAAAGAAAAAAAAAATACATAAATAAGCTAAGAGCTGCAGAACTGCAAAAACGAATTTATTGAGCCAAACAATGATGAGAAAACAATTAAAAACTTTTAAAAAAGAAAATTTGCTTCAAAAGCGTTCAACTCAGGAAATTACAGATACAGATTTTGAGCAATGATTGCTCAGAGAATCTTAGAAAAACAATATGCTTTAGACAGGAAAATGAAGTTTCCCACTTTTTCTCCAGATACCCTAAGAAAAAGGATAAAAACTATATATTTACTTGAGAATTCTTTTGAAAATGCTAGAGAAACTTAGATAGGAAACTAAGATGGGAAACAAAAAATTCTTGAGGCAATATCAACAGACTTACCCTTCCTCTTTCCACAAGATTTGTTATCATGACGATTATAACAACGCGCTGCTCCCAAATCATTCGCCAAAAACAATCAAAAGTTGTTGGTAGAGGACCTTGCGTGCCAATGTAAGCATTTGCCTGCTTAAATCCATCAATGAAATTGGCATTAATATAATCACTACCTCGAACTCCAGGCACAGGCGCTAGACGGACTCTGGAGTGATCATCTGAAAATAAGAAATAATGTGATGAAGGCACTTTGTTGAGCGTGATAACTAATCAATATCAGTGTCAACAGGTAATGAATGAACGTAAGCATCTTGGTTGGGAGTTGCTTCTAATAATTTTCATAGTATATGCTGAATTGTACATTCAGTTCCATTTTGCATGAAATTTTAATGAAACAACATATTTATCATAATGCTTAAATTTGCACCTTGTCTAGTGATCCATTGATAAAAAATAAAGCCGATCAGAACTAAATTTTAGTTAGACATATATACAACCACAAGGAACAGTCTTGACAAATTTGAATCTTCCTTGCAATTCTAATAGAATTTAAAGTGTCTAGAAATGAATCCGTCGCAAAAACAAATTGAGGTGAAAAAGATTCTGAGTACACATAGATACATGTTGCTGCTTTACAGTGAACCCTAGCACTCTATGACACCTAACCCCTGCTGATCCCTGTCGATCTATGGCTCTTAGGGTATGGGACATTTTAACTGCTTCGATTCCATCCCTCCAACCTCTTAATTTGCATCCAAAAGACGCAGATGGCAGGTTTGAAATGACGCCTTCAAAAGGAGAGAAGGACATAGTTCAAAATAAAGGAAAAAAAACAAAATTAAATGAAAAGTAAAACTTACAGGCCAAAATATTTAAGTAACGGTTTTTGTTCTTATTTTCAGGCTGTTGCGACAAATACTGAGCTGTAAATAAGGAGTCTTGATTGGAGAGATCAAACTGGATTGCTTCATATTCCTTGCTGAAACCAATGTCACCGTCTGCGTGAAGCTGATTCACATGCTCTTCAAACGCGCTCAGAGGGATTGCTCCTTTCTGTTCATCCCAATCGGGGATCTGAACAGGCACCGTTTGAAAAACCTGGCCATCGTCTAAATAATAGTAAGCAGCGTGTAGACACCGCCTACAAACACAATGATACCTTAAAAAAATGCCAAGCGATAATGAGAAACTTTTAAACAAATAAAAAATATGCAGTAGATTTCAACTGATAATGAGTGAGTTGGTAACATCAAGGTGGAAATCATCATCACATCTATAATCAGTTTTTGGAAATTAAAGCAGGTGTTATTATATCGCACAGATTAGATTAAGAGGATAAGGACCCAACAAAATCAGACATCACTCAGATGAGGCATTTTAAGTTGTACCCTAATACGACACTCATGAAGAGCCTTGTCAAATGGGTGAGGAGGAAAAATATCCACTCAGAAATTACATTATTTTTTCTGCCAAAGATTGGCTTTGCTAAATCAGCTGGAAATAGCTGAGAATTTTATGTTGCTGTTTATAAATTGGACTGCATTTTGCAATTTGGAACTATAAATTCCGGCCTGGTTTAAAAACAACGTATGTGCCATTAATTTTCCCTATGCACATACGTGTTTTTTCAGATGTGCCAGAATTTATAGCTCCAAATTGCAAAATGCAGTCCAATTGGATTGGTGGATTACCGTCATGTGTGCCTAATGCGATTCAAAGTAGCGCTAAATGCAAAAGCTTGGGCACAACACCGAAAAATAAACCAAATTGCTGAAAACTATTCCTAGCTAGTTTGACAAATATTGGGAATTTGAGTGTTTTGTGAATGCCATGTTGTAATTCTATTGTTGATGGATTGATCTTAGTATCGGAGACATGAACTTACCTCCAGACTATTACACCAATCGTGAGCAAAAACACAGTTAAGCTGGCACAAATGAGACATGTGAGGAGACTAGTCATGGTTATGCTACCCTGGGGTTCTGCTCTTTCTGACCCACAGTTGCTCTGATAGTACACTGTCCATGCTGCTGACGGAGGACCCTCAACTAAGCGACTTGGTTGAACGATACTTTTTGTTGCTGCGACTATTTTTATCTCATATGTATTATTGTCCGACACAGGAACTGAAGCCTGTGAGCAAAGAGATTTTGAAGTTAAATAATATGATTGGAAAAATGTGAAGGAAAATGGAGTTGCTATTTGGTTGACATTCTTTTTCATTTTCTTCTAAATTGGTTTTCTTTTGCAGAATTTCTAACTTGGTCCCCCCCCCCCTCACTAATTCAAGTGCTGTGCTGCACTGCAAACTAATTAAGGAGGGGTCTGAGCTTGTCTTACAGGGAGGGAGGAGGATTAAGCCCCGTCTTACAAAAGCCTCTGACTTGCAGAGATCATTTCATTTTTCATTGAAATTATCTATCAACTATTTTTCAGGCTTCCTCTATAATTTTTTTAGAAAATAAGGAAAGGGCGTGTGGGTTTGATCAGTTACACATAATTCAAAATGGGGATGAGAGGTATTCTGCTGGGTACCCTTCAAGGAGAAGGGAGGTTAAAAAGTCGGTCAGATTGCCTTGCGCAATGCTTGAATGGCCCCCCAGCTAAATATTCAATATCTTCAATGTCTATTTTCAATTTATATCTAGATGTATGATCTATTTCTGTCCTCTAAAGAATATGGCATCTGAGAAAAAAAGGTTAGAAAAAAGAGTACCTCTTGTATTTCCACATCTTTTGAAGTCTCGATCTCCAGACTTTTATCTTCACTGACAGTCATTGGGCGGTACAGAATGAAGTAGTAGTCTAGAGAGTTGTTGAAGCAAACAGGACGCTCCCACAAAACCGCCAATTCGTGAGCTACTCGACAAGTTGTATTCAGGATTCTTGGAGCACATGGCGGAGCGACATCAGTTTGAGCATTGACAACAGTAGAAAGTTCACCCTCCCGAGAGTCAAGAACTGCTCTCACCCATAAATCATACGGCGTGAATGACTCTGAGGAATGAAACAATATTAATGAATCAAGGTAAGTAATCGGTCATAGGCAAAATACTATGGACATATTTCAATTGCTTTGCAAACGGTGACACCGCATGAAAATGCATAGCATTCCCATTTTTCAGTGTTCCCAGGCCATTTTATTGCCAAAATGGTGTGTATCATCCGAAAACGTAGTTGTGGCCTCTGACTGGTGGACAACTGGAATATGCTTGAAGGACGTTCTGGGATTGTAAATCACAGGATTTCCAACATTACTACTTCCCACTGCTCTCCTTCTCATCAAAAGGGAATTAAGTAAGTTAAACAGGTATTAAGTTTTTTGGAAGAAAAGTAATCAGCACAACAAAAAAGATTACTTCTGGGTGAATAGTAGAACCAGAAAAATGTATTCTCTGCATTTATCTTGGTTACAACATAGGAAACTCCCTACCCCATTAAAATAACTTGGGAAAAACTGACCGTCTTCAATTCTTGCAATTTTGAAAAATTTCCTGGGGGGTAACTAAGGTATTTTCTGGAAATTTCATGCAAAATTGATTATTATTTTTCATAGGTACAAAATATATATCCGGCACATAATTTCAATACACACTATAATCTAAACTTAAGGTTTTCTGAAATTTCATTATCACCACTGATATCTTGAATCAAGTCATCAAGAATTCAAGCCACATCACAAAATTTTCGACTAAAAAATGAAACATTTATGTATGTATAAGGCGCGCTAGGGTGCTCTGCAACGCCTTACCGCCACAGGAATCTAACATGGTAGAAATCGCCCGGAAGCTGGCATCTCTCCATCTCTCAACATTTATCCATCGTTGAAACTAATGATAAAAGAGTTTATGAGGATGAACAAAAGGAGAAAAGGAAGAAAGAAAATCTTACCAAGACCGTCCACAGTAAATTCAACTGAATGGTTTGTTGGCTGTGCAGGAACATTGCTGGAAATGTTGCTGCGGCTGTAGGTGTTAGAGGCATAAACCCGATATTCAAGAAGAGGCACTGACATATTGGCGGGAGGTGCCCATCGTAACGATATAGATGAGTTTGTTACGTTGATAATAGTCAGATTCAAAGGTTGGTTCACTGAAAAAAAATTAAGAAAAATAAATAAGACTTGAACTAATCGGTTTCTTTATTTCTAACATTGAAAAACTCATTGAACAGGGTAATTTTCACCGGGCAAGGCAAGGAGAGTAGTATCAATGAGCCACTGGACTGGATACACTAAAAGAACATATTTTAGGTTTCCATAGAGAAATTTTCTGATTTTTCAGGGTTGAGAAAAATTTCCCGACTTTTCCAGATTTTCCCTGCCTTTCCAAGAGCTTGTCCCCTTATTCAAGATGCTATACATGTATGTGTATAGAGAGGAAAAATTTATCTTCATGGAGAGATGATTGTTTGCCAAAAGAATGACAGTTTCCAAAAGGGCACTACATCTATGTAGTTCTTGGTTTTATAATGAGCGCAAAAAGTATTGACTGAATATATCTATTACATTTAACTAAGTACACTTATATCTGAATTTATCACCAAGGAGTCAATTTTGGAAGCTTTTGTCAAGATTAATAGATTCTCTGCATATTGACAACAAAGAGAGTCTGGTGAAAGTTCAATCTTTATTCTGTCATATGGACCATCAAGAACACCTGATAGGTGTAGACAATTTTGAAATTGGCAAACGCTCCAGAATCCACGTTGGCTCTAGTCAACACAAAATCCAGCTACAAGTTTCCTGAAATGCAACCTAAGACAGCGCATAGCTAATAATGGTAAAAATAGTTTTTAAGTATGGGACTCCCTTGAAGATAAGACCTCCTACAAAGCTTGGTCTCCCACTTAGTAAGGGCTCGGAGCTGCTTCAGCAATGAAAGGAATTGGGTAGCTGAGGAAAGAAATTGTTGTCAAATCGATGACAGATGTCTAACAGCTCGGTGCTTTAATGAAAGTATGTTGCAAGCTTCTTGAAACTTGCTTGGATGCAGATAAATTGAATAAATCTGGTCGGTGCAATCAATGAGAGAAAAGAAACTAACCTCCGGAATCTTCTTCGACAGACAAATTGATCCAACATGTAAGGCATAGAAAGACGCATGGAATATAAAATGCACGAATACTTGTCATATCTTCGAAATATGAGGTGAAATTGAGAAAAAGGCTGAAATTATCAGCCGTTAATGAACTCTAGGGTCTAGGCCTAGGATTCCATTGTCAACAGAGGTTAGATTGGATGAATATGTATTCGAGCACTTCGCGACGGAGACAGGAGAATTCATTGGCGAACTGTTCATGATACCAAACATAAAATATATAAAATTAAACATAAATATTCTGAGATTATATGCACAATAAGTTAAAACTTATAAGTTACGCAAAAAAGAGGAAATGAACACTTGAAATGACTTCGGCGAACTCCGCCATGATACGAGGTCCTCATGTAAACAAATGTATAACAGAGGTGTCAGATTCACTATTATATTCCAGAATATCTAGTTATGATTTCATCATCGTAATCAGTCGGTGGATCGTTGTTTCCACCGATTGATGTGCTGACAATGATTTTCTGATTTCTGATTGTATTGCTTGAAAGGAAAAGATGAGACTAACTGCACTCTCAAGTCTCAAAAGCATAGAATTTTGTGGAAGCATTGAAAAGACTCTGAGGACAAACCCAGGGTGCAAGCCTGATGACGAAATTACGTTTATGTTGAGTTTCCGATTAATCATGATTTCTTTTAAAGTTGGCATCAGCCGAATCTATCTATTGTATTGTTCATTTGTGTTTTGGTTTTTTTTTGGATTAGGAACTTTTGAAGTTTTGACGCGCATTGACGGTTGAACTTGAACAAAAGCGTTTATTCATACTTCTTTCTTTCTGCCATGTGACGTGCCTAATTAATGTGAATGTGAAGAAGATAATTTTCTCTCGAGACTGTCGCCTTAGTTGGAAATCACCTCAATCTTTCCGTTTATTACTAACTGTAACTAGCCCCTCAAGTGCCAAGCTCGGTCTCTGTATCCATAGGACATAGAGCAAAGCACCACGCCGTTCATTTGAAGACTACACCCGAAATAAAGAAGAGATGGAAGTTTCAAGCAAAGAAAATATAGTCGGTTTGACCAGCAACCGATCCCTGATCAAAGGTAATGCTGCTCTAACGCCTTATTATGTACATAGCATTTAAACTAAGTAGAAGTGGAGTCCACGCCAAATAAGTTTACGCTCCATCAGACCACAACAGAAGATCATCCAACGTCACTTTCACATGTAAAGTAAATGCAATAATCAAGATGGCACGTCTTCTATCGCAGTCTAAGAGTGCGTAAACCTATTTGACATGGTCTTAACTTCTTAGATTCTAAGCATGCACTATAACAAGTAATCTTTTCTAGAGCCATCGCTTGTCAAGGAGGAAAACCGTCTCTGCATTATTGAATGCTTATCAGTAAACTCAGTTCTAAGAATTTATGTAAGTTGTAGGGCTAGGAGATTTTAAATCATGCAGGTTTATAGGTACATTTGGTCTATATTTTCGGTATCTGTCACGCAAGTAAAATACACTGAGTACAGATATATTTCTTAAAGCAAAACTTTATGTGTAGAACACAATTTTATTTAAACTGTATTTTACCTAAGGTAACTGCTCATTCACAGTGGTCTGGTAATCGAGAAATATTTCCCAGTCACTATCATATTCTTTGACGAGTCAATTCTGTAAACAAGCTCACCCCATTGTATTTTTTCTTCTAGAGCACCCTCTTACTCTTGTAACTGAGCCTCAATACTACCTAAGTACTTACTTTTCCATGTGAGGGTAAAAAACAGCCTGCATGTGCTCCAAACTCATTCATTATGAAGATCAAAGCCTTACTTAACAGAAGACTCATATTATTTGTAGACCTTTTGAATTTGTACACATTTTTAACAGTATTGTTATCTCCTCTTTCCAGCTGGTGTCACTCAATCTATCAAGAAACCTGCATCTACCAAAAAAGCCCTAGCAGATGTTGGAAACATACTCCATTCTGCCAAGAAAAGCTCGCAGGAAGTTGTCAAACCGGGCTTCTCTGGTCAAAAATTAGAAAGCACAAAAAACTTCAAAATTTATGTAGAAGAACAGGATGTCATATTCTCTCCTGCTCCTAAGAAATCTAATCCCAAAAGAATTCCGCTGTCTCCTATATCGGGCATCAAAGTAGCTGCCAATCTGAATCCTAATTATCAGTATGATGATGACAATGAAGATCCTCATCAGGATTGCCCAACTACGCCTTATAATGGTAATATTTTGTCTCTTGATTATTTTCTTCCAACCTGTATGTGACCATCTATCAAGAGAAGGACCCTTGTGTCAGAAAACTTAAAATTCAGTTATTGGAATCACTTCTTGGAGAAGTACCTGCTGTGCTCCCATACCAGAAGTTGAAAATCTTTCAACTCACTAATATTACGATGAATTAGTTTGTTTACAAGTTATGGTTTCATATCTTCACCAACTGTCTAAGAAGCATGCTTCTCAGCTCCAGCATAGACAGAAATCTTTTTGACACCTAAATTCTTGATAATAACAATCCCCTAATAATTTTACCAAAAAGCTCTTCTGTAATCCAAGGATTTAGCCAATATCGTGAAAATGAACTGTCTCCCCAACTAATTATTCACTTTCCTTTCCTCAGACACATTAGGAATAAATAACTTATTTATATCTTCTCCTCTGTTCCAGATGATTTCGATGATTTATTACCTCCATCTTTAAGATTAAATTCAGATGACATAGACTCTTTAGCAATGCTGAAACCCCCTGAAGAATCTTGGGCACCTAAGTGGAAGAGTGATCTCTCTACAATCTCTGTTGAGTCAGATTTAGATGATTTTAATGTTCCGTTTCCTAGTAAGTTCTACTAACTGATTGGTATATTCATTTTGTTGTTTGTCAATCTCTTAACAATATTAAGTTGTCAGCCATTCCCACCATTCAGACACTGTGTATCATTCTTTGCACACATTCATTATACTTATTGTCAGTTCTAGTGGTGAAGAAAATGAGTCAGGGTCATAAACCACATACCAATGGATAATGTTGTGCCCTAAAAAAGTAATTATTGTGAGCTGGCAACTGAACCATCCCACCAAAATTTGGCTGAATCAATTTTATAATTTTTTCCAAAAAAACTTCCAATCATGAGTTAGAAACATTATACATGCTGACTTAAGTATTGTTTATTTATTTATCAAACAATCGCCTTTCTTGAATTAAAAACAACAAGTTACTTCATTTTATACCCACTGATCTCTGGTTAGAACAATCTTCTTTTTTGCCAAAGATTTATTTTATTATTTTCATTTCACTTATTTATTTATTTTTTTTCCAGGTCCTCCTAAATTTGCTGATTTTGATCTTCCATTCAATGAATTTGTGGTTCCAGAAGTTAACTTTGATGATTCCTTCTAAAGCACCAATATTCTCCTTCTGGCCTTGCCTTGCCTTGCCTTTTAATCAATGTGTGTATATCTGTCTGATATTTTAAACAGTTATCTTTTTTTTTATAATCATTTTTTTAACTGAAACATTTTGCCATTTCACTGTGAAATTTTATAAGCCAAGTCAATCAAAAAAGACCGATAATGACAATATTGCCCCTGTCAAGTATTGAGGTTCAAAAAAAAGACTTTATGAACTACTTTTTAAGTTCAAAATAGTGTCACAGGGGTAATCAAATTTTTCTTTTAAATTACCATAACTTATCAAGGAAACAAATTTCTGCTGAATAAATGTAAGTGAATAAAGCAACTTTAACCAATATTCTGAATAAATACTATCCACGCATCCTTTATCCAAGAATATCAACAGCTGATGTATTTAAACCATTTTTTACTACTTAAAGCTTCAAAACTTCGTGCAGTGTTTCACATTTCAACTAGCCCAAGATGTGTTTTTCATTTTTTATATAGAACTAAAAATAACAACTAGATCAATTTAACTAATTAATAAGAAGTAATACTGGCACCCATGGAACAATAGAACTGAAACTTAAGTCAAATAAATCTTGTAGAGGTGTGGTAACAATGTTGATTATGACATTCAGAGGGAGATAATCATCAGCAAATCTCTAAGTTGCCTCCGCAGTGCATGCTTGAGGAATTCAATGTAATGAATTGAAAATTGAGCCGTACAGAAAGCGTTACTGTTGCATAACCAAGATCATGGATGGTTTTATTTCAGCAGTATTATTTCCTAAGAAATGGTACAGTAGAAAAAATAGCAAAATTTTTTATTTTTGTGATGAGGAGAAGTCTTAATTAAGTTGCAGGTATTTTAATACACACTGTAAGGTAATTTTTGTTTTATATGCCTCCATATCTCAAAAAAGATGTCAGACTGTCCAGATCAGTGATAGTGTCTCATAATTTTGAATTTTGTAAGAATTGTCTTCATACTGAACTGAAATATTTATTAAAAAATTGCATTAAACCAATGTGATTTCATCTATATTAACTGTTAAAGAACAAGCAGAGCATTTATACAGGTGATACGACATGATCTTCAACTATTCCTAAGAACGCAGCTGCTGAGGTTGCCCTTGTTGGTACCAGTGGTGTATTGCTAAAGTAGCCTTTTCATTATTGTTTCTTAAAGAGGCCTTCAAAGTGAGTATTAATGTTTAAGTTATAGTTTTTAAATAAAATCCAATTTCATTTTCCTAGATTTTCTAGCGCTTTGTCTTTTTTCATTCCCTCTAGTTTTGGTAATGTTCTTGACATCTTGGTCATCAGCAAAGCATACAGTGTAAAGGGTTACAATGTTCCTGTCTAGGTTCCCTCTCTCAAATACAAGACTCGTTACGTATTACCGACTATTCCTATAATAATTGAACTATAAATTCCTATGATAATTTCAAACAAACAATATTTTGGTTTCTTCTTAGCCGAAGAATATTAAAGGAAATTTATGAAGTTTCAGATAAACCTTTTCTCATCTCATTCAAAGTATCAATAGACTTTTTTTGTAGAACAAGAGAAATGGGTTTTTAAATTTTTCATCAAAAATACATAGAAAACATTTTTTTTTTCATTATAAAATAACCAACATTTTATTGCATAAAACATAAATAAACTATGAAAGCATAGTTCTCTCCAAACTATTGCAATATAAAAACAAAATTGATATTTAAAATATGTTCATTGTAAAAAATGGATGAAAAGCTCAGCTTCTATTTACATACTTTTTTTATAAAAGGTTTTAGAAAAACATGAAGTGTACAGGATGCCCCCTAAGTAATTAATTAATTAATTAAAAGGTTTTAGATAAACATGAAGTGTACAAGATGCCCCCTAAGTAATTAATTGTTAAGTTTCATGGTTCAAAGAAATCAACTTCAAGCATTTGAAGAGACTGCTAACTTTTTCAAGTGTTCCATGAAGACTTGCAGACTGACGTCATCTGTCAGTACTGGAGCTCCAGCATCCTGGGAAAAAAATTAAACTTTCGATTAGGAAACTCACAATAATTAGAGAATAAATCACTAAGGGTTCGAAACTAAGCATCAGCAATTTGCACTAATGATGTAGAAAATATTCTTCAAAACATCTCTGTTGTAAAACTATTTTGACCAAAAGAGTTTTTAGATCCATTGACTAGCCATCATCTGAAATCTTGAATTCATAATTATTTTTATGTTTGTGAGTTCCCACTGCACTGATATATCTTGTTCTCATTAATAATTCTTGTGGAACAAAGCAGACACATTCAATAATTCATATATTCAACTTATCAGTGAGAGGTAAAGCCCTTGTCCCACCATCAAATGAACTCATCAAATGCAAGACAGCAGGTTCATTTGATAGCAGACTTGCGCGAAAACCTGTCGCCATCTTGCATTTGATAAGCATTTGATAGGTTCATTTGATCGTGGGACACGGGCTTGAGCGTTTTTTGTATCAGGTGATTCAAAATTCTTGCTCAACGAAAAATCAAAGTCAAATTGGACACTGAATTAATGGTAGTATACTTTACGATTCATGACATTCTCAGCATGCTTAACTTTTCTTGACTAAATTGCAAGTGCTGAAAAAAACATTTTTGCGGAATCCAACTATGTATATTTCTGAAAAGGTGGGTTTGTCTTCGATGGCTGATGCCTGTTATGATTAATATTATGTAATTGAGGTTTAGGAGTAAATGAGGTGATAGATAAAGGTATCTTGAATACTTACTCCTCCGTAACCAAAAGCAGTATTGTGCGTCTGTGAGGGATTCACCTTGGACAGCAAAAATCTGGCCTATAACATAGAGTCAAAAGAGATTTAGAGTACCTGTTATTACTACTCAAATTCAAATGTAAATTTAATGCAATGATTTTTTAAAAAATGAGACAAGAAATATAATTTTTAAAAAAAAAACAGAGCACACAAGTAACAAGTATAACCTTACAGCTACAAAGGAGATTGCTCTGCCTGCAATACACACAAATGTATACTGTCTGAAAGGAATTATCATCCTTCGCCTGGCCAACAAATCTTGAGAACAGTTTGACTTGTCTGTAGGCGAAATAGATATTTCGAACTTCTTATCTGAGCCTAACCAGGTGTTACAAGATTTTGAACTACGTTCTAATGAACAAACATATTCACATGGGTAGTCCCTAGAAATGTTTGTAAAATCGTGAACTATTGACAAAAATTACATTACAGTTCAAAAACAAGAAATTGGAAAGCCATTTGATCACAAATGGAGAATGAAAATTTGTTCCAGTTACGTATTTCGTCAGCTCACAAATTTCATTGACTACTAACAGACAAAAATTCGTTTTTTTTTTAGAATAGCGGAGTAACATTATAAAAATGCATACAACACTGATATGTTTGAAACGATTCTTCTTGTAAAAGCCGATAATCTTAAAAAAGATTTGTTCATAACATTCATGAATCAGTTGGTTTAGTACCTGAGATCCACCTTGTTCAGTGTCAATGTATCTGGGCATTGGGAAGCGACTGTGTAAAATTTCTAGGGCATCATCAACAGGAGCTTGAAGTAACTGTTTAAAATGTTCATACTCTGGCATATCTTGGTACCTAAGCGCTCGCCACTGAGCAATGGTCTGTAAACAAGAAAACAATTTTAACATGGTTAAGATACCTATTCGAATTCACTAAGAGGAATGTTCATGGGTGCTGCAGGATGATCTTCTCTCCTTTATTGAACCCCCTTCACTTAGGGCCACAAAATAATTTCTTTTTCAAGTAAAAGTTACAACTTACAAGATTTTTAAAAATCGGATTACTGTATTATCCTAGGTTATGACAACCTCCAGCTCCAGGTGCATTTTGTAACACTTAAACACTCTTTGAGCTATCAATTTTATTAATTTAATATACTTTTGAATGAAAATTGTTTGAAAACATTGTAGAAAATACTCGCCTATTGCACTTGACTTGCAAAGCCGCAGCTCATAAGATCTGATCTAATCAGCAAAAGCATCAATGAATGAAACTTCAAAGAATTATAACTGAGCAATTTTTTTTTTTAAAATGCCTAAAAATAGTAGCTTGTGCTTACGAATTTCTTGAATGGCTTTTTCTTAGAATACCTACTGGTAACAAACAATGTAAAATCATGGTTATTATAAAAACGAGAGAAAGGAAAAAAATAGGTTTTGTCTTTCAGATTAAATGTTTTGAATAGTTTTTACATACCTCGCCATGGAAAATTAAAATTTGGAAGAATGTGTCCATCAGCAAAATTCTGTCAGGCTGAATACTGCTGGTGTCTAACAAAACAGGCTCAGGAGGCCCTGCGAGAGAGTAACTGTACAATATTGGCTGAATCATAATCAAGCTCTGTGTCAAATCTTCGCGAAGAAGAATATGCCGATAGAACGAGGTTTCATCAGGACTATTATTGAACACTTGCAAAAATTGTGACCGTCTCAAGTGATAGATAAATTGAGGGAAAAGACTGAAATTTTCTGGCAGACGAAAACTGTTGGGATCATCCTTTGAATACTGTCCAAATTTCTGACACTGAAAATGAAAAGAATATAATTGAATTAAGAAAAGATGGAAAAAAGAATAGAATCTCATTTTATTAAATTGCTCAGGTGTTCAATCCAAATAATTTTATGCACTTCTAGACTGCAGCAGAACGTTGTCTGACGTCATTTTTACATGTAAAGTAAATGCAAGAATAAAGATGACACATCTTCTGTCGCAGTCTAAAAGTGCGTTAACTCTACCAGCATTACTTTTCTTTTGACATTTCTCAGTCCTCATGATAATTATAACTACCTTTGAAAACTAATAGTGCTGATGTTACTACATTGATTATGTACGTCCGGATGTGCTGAGAAAAATACCCAATTTGCATACATGAAACAAAGGTAAAACCAATAACATAAAGATCATTTACTCATGAAATTAAGCACAATTCAAAAAATGTACTCTTTTTTTAAAAAAGAAAAAGAAAAATAGGGACTTAATTGATACCCAAAACTTGGGAGTCTTGACACTGAAAAATATCTGAAATTTACAATAATTTTACGTGTGCCTCAAGTTAAATCTTCATGTCTTTTTTGTTGGAAGCTGATTGCTATGCTATTCAAATTCTAAAACACAACAAAAAATATCTTTACCAATCGAATTAACATTCTATCAGCCCAGCGCATGACGTCTGGACCTTCATCTGTTTCTGCCTTATTGACGACAGTGCGAGCCATGATAACTGCTGCTGCCTCTTGATCAAATCCAGCACTGATGTGCATCAGACCTGAATTCATATCCGCCCAACTTGAAGAAAATGAAAAAGATAAAATGTATTAAAAATGTGATAAATTTGATGACACTATCCAAACATGATTAGAGACAAAGGGAAAAAAGAGATTATCAAATGTCAACCAGTTTCGTGTTCGACTGTTAACTTCCTTCTTTTTCACCACAGAGTATGGATTTAAAGCAACCAATAACAAACTCGTGTGTCTACCGCCATTCGTTTGTGAACGAAAAACAGTTTTGACAGTGTGCGAGTATTCAAAAGGATAAAAAATGGTCTGTTACAACATCTTTTTTTTTCTTTCTTTCTTTTTTTTTCTCTCTGTTCTTCTTAATTTTTGGTTCATCTATTTTTCTTGAAAAAACCCTGATCTATTTTGCACTTTCTATTCAAATATGTAACATCAATTTAAAAGGTGCACACTTACTTCCTTGCTAAAGTGGTGACTCGAATTCGTTTCTGGCCACTGGAATGTTGATACTGAGTGATGAACTGAATACAGCCGCGACCTCCTTGTGGAATAGGAGCTGTATGCTAAACAGAAAGAAAATATTACATTGACAATCACATTTCAAGGACGTCTGCAGATTAGAATAAGTTAATTCCCATAATAGAAAGGAGCAACAAAAATTGGAGCTACTAGAAATCTGGCCTTGGTCGAAATATTTTAATTTGGGTCTATATTGTTGAAGGGAACTCACTGACTTTTAACATTTTCTAGATTCACAAGTATCTATACCGTTCAGTTTACAAGACTATTTGGAGGTCATTTTTACTTTCTCGCTCCCATAGTTTTCTTTTTCTGATGAAGTTTTCATTGACCTTGCATGAATTTGTCTAGTCTAAAATATAGACGGATTGAAACAGAGTCAGCATAACGGCATTTGACGTTGCCTGAATTCAGTGATTTCCTTCCCGATTTTATTATTTTAGTATAAACTAAATTTTATAGTGCCTTGAAACCTGCTGTGGATTTTTTTATAGATGAAGAAGAAAATAAATACTTGTAAAATTTCAAATCAGAGAGCTGCTTGATTTTTTGTTACAAAAGTAAAATACGAGAGGATATTAGGCACTGTCTAATGTAGTTAGGCTGATTTTGGTAAAATCCGTCTGAATAAACTCAAAGCTGATTAAATTCTCTACATAAATATACTGGTAGCTATGGTCCTACATTACTTTTAATCTTGATATGCTTTGAAAATAGCACGAAACAAAAATAAAACAAAAAGGGGAAGGAGTAAGATGTACTTCAACAAATTGCTCATTATTCCTTTTTATACAGAATTTATGAGTATAATGGACAAAATATTGTTATACATAGGGATCCCTTTCCTTCGACTGATAAAGCGCTTACAACTTAGGTGCATAGATAATTAAATGATGTTAAATTGATTATTTACCTGGTTAACTACTTCAAAATAAAATGCACAAGTTGTGCTGGGGTACAGTGTGCAGAATTTCCACTGTGAAGTTCCTCCTAGACCGACCTCTGTATCAGACACGTGAGCACTCTTCACATTCAAAGAAACACAGGATCCAATTGCTCCCATAACTGTGGAAATTAACCAAAAATAAATTAACAACTCGTACTGTACATAGAATAAATTCCAGTCCAAAGCAATGAGCAGAGCAAGAATTAATGGGAGAATTAGGATGGTCCCAAAACGTCACTCTGAATAACTTCCTGTAATCAAACAGGGACTCTGTTAACAAATTTATGAGCTGACATGAGTTGATAGTACTATTAAATTGTGTCCGGATAGCTCGGACATACATATGGAGAGAAAATAATTGATTCGGTCTGCCACAAAGTTTCTATGTCTGATACAAATGCAGATATTGTCCTTCGAAAATCATGACTACAGTAAGACCTCAATTTATCGGATTTAATGGGACCGGAGGCCAAATCCGTTAAATCGCGCTAGTCGGTCCTGCTGAAGGGACCGGAGAATCGATCCGTTAAATCGCGGAATCTGTTAAATCGCGATCCAATACTTCGAGATCTTACTGTAGTTATATTCAAAACTACTCCCACATTATTTTTTCCCAAAATGCAACTTGATACGCTTCTATCAAACTCGGTCCAAGAGATGCAGAAAAATTGTAAAGGATTTTGACATGTTTTCCTACATACTTTCTCAATACGCTTCTAGTTGAATTAATTTTTTTCAGTGATGGTTTGCTGAGTGCGTCAGTTGCTGATACAAAATTAACATAACTGAGATGATCATACCTTTCAATTCCTGGGAAGTTTTAACTTCTACGATTCCATTGAATGCCATTTTGTAGTCGCCCTTCACATCCTTTGCTAGGACTTTTTGGAATGTTTGCTTGAACAATGATGAATTGAAAGAATCTCCCATCACCATGTGACCTCTGTTAATATTAAACATAAAAGAAAGATGTTAAATTATGAATGAACAAACACTCATCATAAAGCAATGGATAATACAGGAGTTTGGGATTCGTTTATTCCGACTAGGATTTAAAGTTAGCTTTAGGAGTATTTTGACAACACTTCAGTGGACAGAACTGTAAACTGCTTTAATTCTCAATAGTAAAATGATGTTCGCTATGGCACCATTGGAATCCACTTTATTATTCCTTCAAGTGGGCGAAGCAATTTAGAAGCCTAAGAATAGATCAAGACAAAACATATTCAACCAGATTCAGCAACATTCACAGTACCAATGAGAGAGTCACTTAATTTTTTCTGATGCATTTAAAATTCAAATCAATGATAGGGTAAGACCCTACCATTTCCTGTTGATTCTTGTTGGTCACCAACATACAGGAGCATTTGTTACTTAGATTAGATAATTTCTTGGATTTGATTTTCTTAGCACTCTGTTTCTTCCTGAAAAAATGGTCCCAAGGAGAATATATGTCAGATAAATGGGCAGTTGCTTACTTCCTGTTTGAAAACGACTGTAACAAAGTCATCCAATAGCCATTGAAGATTAACCGCAGGCAACGCCATAGGAACATAAATCTCTCCACTGCGCGAGACAGTCTAACGAAAACAACCGCCCAACTATCTGAGGTAAGTTTTAACAGAAACTCACCCTGTAGAATTGCAACATTGCTTCATTTCCAGGAGTCCAGTTTGGTCGAGGGCACAAGAATAAATGTCAATGGCATGCCCATTGGATGCAGCACGCACTGCCAGCCCTTCATAGTGCTTAATTGCTTTTTTCATGTACTTCGCATTGTCTTTTTGAATGTCGTGATGAGATCGGATTGGGTCTTTCAATTCATCATTCACTACTTGACCCGGGCCCTCGGAACAGGGTCCTCCAACAAACAGCATTATTCGTCCTCCAGAGTTTGGATAACAACACTGCAAAATTCAGTACAGGAAATAAGAGGTAAATAAAGTTGGTTGAATGGGGTGGTCAAATGAAGATAAAAACTTAGACTAATTGTAAGTTGTTGCCATGTTTTCGATGACCAAACAAGAAGTTCCAAGGTTTGTTGGTTATGATTGAAAAATTTCTTCTCCTTGTTAGTTCATACGGTTAGCATTAAAAAATAGACTATATACCTGACAGTTTTTTAAAGACTCTTCTAGCTTATAGATGCACAGTTGAAAGTGACATTTCTTGGACTTGTTGAATTTGATATGTCGGTTGGATTGTCTTTTCTGAGTGGTATTGGTAGTCCTCTTACACCCATCAATGAGCTGAGAGTCTCTCTTAAAGAATAGGTATGAAGGGGATTGTTGAACTGTGTACTTCATCTTTTTTTCTCTTTTAGTTAGCATAATTTTACTAAAAAAGAATAAAAGAGGTAGTGATGTGGTGTAGTGTCCCATTTCATGCCGCAGAGCTCAGTGGGGTCTCAACTCTGATCAACCAATAGGAGGTTATAACCTTGACTGTTGTACATGCTACCAAGAGTGAAATATTGGAGCAATTTCATACTACCACAGAGTCAGACTCTGTTGTTTCAATCTCCCTCTTATAAATGATGTTGATAGCCGCTCAAACTTTGAGTGATGTACTATTCAAACACAACGCAGCTGAACAGTGTGGATGGACAATGACTGGACTGTATCTCACCAAGTATCGACCATGTATCTCACCCTGCTGCCTCTGAGGGAATTATTGGAGTAGCACAGTCACTCACAACAATAATGACAGATTTTTAAGTGTTCTTAAAACCTATGACCACAGGCAATCTCGCCTGGCAACTCAGTGCTTGACCTTTTTTTACATAAAAAATTAGGATTCATGTAGAATTTACAGGAGGTAACCTGTCTCATTATTTTCTTAGTACACACAGTTTTAAAGAAATTTTTGTTTCTTGTAGAGACATCAAAATCTGACTTAAAACACCTTTTGACACCTCACCGAAGGAATGACAGGCTGGTTCAAATCTTACCTCTAAAAGGCTGACAGCTATAGAAAGAGCAACTCCAGTAGCCCGTAATGAGCGTTTGCCTTGAGGTACAGGCCAAGGATCTCGCTGCATTTCTCCTAACAGATCTGTTAGACTCATATCACATTTGTGAACTGGTTGTAAAAATCTGAAAGAATAGAGAGAAATATTAAAGAAAAAAGTAAAATCCACTGAGATGAAAAAAGACTAAAGAAATTAAGAATAAACTATCCTTTCTGATCTCATTCTTACATTCTACCTATAATTTACTTTCGTAAACTTCAACTGGTTAAACAATGCTTACCTATTTGTTGCTGCACCAGCGGGAGATGCTACACTAGGAGGACCGTTTGGCTGTGCCGGATTGCGCTGCTGGAACTGCTGCTGAGGAGTTTCACGATATACCCCGACACCCAGCATGTTTTGAAGCTGTTTGGCGGAGAGGTCTTTCGTACCGCGAAAAACAAAACTTTTTGCGCATCCATCACAACCTAACTCATGAACCTGAAAAAAAAAGAAACAGCGTTTTGAAAACAAATTGAAGGTTTTAACATAGTTTTGGACTTCCTTGAAAAAATTGACTCACGCCTAATTGGTGATGGAGATTATTTGAGCTCACTCTTGCTCTGTGAGATTTTTGTCAAATTACGGAAACGCTGCCTGGAAGGTGAATTTAAAGTAAGGCACACTTACATAATGAGTGTAAAAAGGATTTACAGCAGGGATATGAAAGGGAATTTTTCAGCTCCTAAGATTGAAACTTCCATACAAGTTCGGATCTGAAAGTTTCTTCCCAAGAGATCTGATGGCAAAACACAAACGCATGTGCAATACACACTTCAACTTAAAAGAATTATCAAGAAAATTTCTGGGCATTCCTGTTCTCATTTCCAATTCTCATTTTCTAATAAACTTAGATTCTTGGTTGAGATCGTACCACCTGGGCTTTAGGTTTAATCACCTGGATGCTCAAGCAGCCATCTAACTCTACTCAATCAATCAATTGACAATTTTAAAAAAAAAGACTGAAACCACATTTTAACTTACTTGAACCATTTTACCGAACGTGATGATTCCTATGAGAGCATTTTGCGGCAGTAGACTGAGAGACATTTGCAAAGAATCTTTCAGCGCACCTAATTCTTCTTCATCCAGACAAGTGTCAATTACTAGTAGGAAAATTGGTGGTAGACAATGAGCTCTCTGCACAAGAAAAATATGAAAATAATTTTTTTTTTATCAAGGAGACAAGAAAAGACATTACATGAAATTTTTTGTCAAATGGGTTTCCTTTAGCTTACAATAATATGACATTACTGCGCGGGTGATTTATTTTTGATACTTAAAACTTGTCTTTGCAACAATTTTGATACGACAAAGGGACGATTGTAGAGATTTTATAATTTTCAATCGGACAAGACAAGACTAATGCGCAATCGATTCATGTGATTGGTAGTTTTTTGGTCACATACTCTCTTTGCCGTGCCTTTATCAGGTAGGTAAATTGATTGGTTTTCTATTGCCAAGAGGGTGTCATTGCATTGTAATAATCAACCTTACAAAGAGAAAAAGTAACCGTGGAATGAATAAGCCAACAAATCATGTAACTCCATTTTGTCTGAGTCTTAACTATCCAGTTAACAGACAATGGATTTCAATTATCGGCTTGCTGGTCTGGATAGGATTTTATAGATAAAAGCACATGAATATATATTTACAACAGAGCATTGACCCATGAGTAAAAAGCAAATAGACCGAGCAAATTTTAAATCCACTCCGTAAATGACTCTTACTTAATGTCCAAAAATGGAGAGAAGGCAAATCTTGGTTAAAAGGACCGACTCAGTCCATGCGTTAGTCATTATCGTTGTTTTTGGGGTCAGAAATGTTGAGCAGTTAATCCCCTTTACATGGAAGGTCAAACCTGATTAATAAAACAAATATAACCGCACTAAATAACCGCAGAATAATCGCACTAAAAAGTAGAGAAAGCCACCCTGTTTCATTTGGGCTGTTTGTAAAAAATAAGATTCTGAAAGATGCTTACCGTGATTGAGTATTCTATTGTTGAAAAGTTTGGTATCAATTCTGCAGGTTGATGTTGCTCTGAGATTGCAGCATACTGCGGAGGGAACTGAAAACCAGGTAAAATAGGAGATAGTTAAATTTTACATTAATTTTGTGCTTATAGTAGATCAAATAAAAGATCTCATTTGCCTAAACCATGTAGATTGGAAAAGAGAAATCCAATGAAGTAAAAATTGCCAACAAAGTGATAAATATTTATAATTTTCAGTCAATAACGCAAAAAAAACATTTACCTCCTTGATTGATTTTTATTTTATACTTATTGTTTTTTAGTTCTTCTTGATAAAACACAGAGAAAAATGCGAACTTACTTATCCAACTAACCCTTTGCGGTATTTCAAGTGAATACTTAGATAGCCTCTAATAGCTTTTCACTTTCTCGATACTAATCACTACTGCAGAGTTAAAGGTTGCCTCTGATAGAAGTGGGGAAAGAAAATAATGAACAAATGCCAGATCAGAAATCAGCACCTTTCAAGAAGAATTTATGTGGATACCAATCGGCCTACAGATGATTTATGCATTTAGATTAATGTGACATTTGTCCATTATTTTCTTTCCTCAGTTCTGAAAGTACTTGGATAAAATCAATGCAATTGAATAAAATCAATTTCTTTCCATAGCTCACTCTTGGTTTGGGCATTTAAAAAATAAAAATGAATCAAACAGTAATTAGCAAGTGTACATTATTATAATCCAAGTCACCAAAAGTGGTGGCCTAGTCATGGCGGAGTGGCCAGTGACTGGCTTGAAAGCTTGTTCAGGGGTTGAAATTAGCATTGGCTCATTCAAATCATCTGGGCACATCCAATGAGCTCATTAAAAATAGAGTCCCTTTATACCCAGAGTTACGACAACTCACTTTTGGTTGGGCCAGGATTGGGCTGAAAGTGGCCTAAAAAAAAATCCAATTCTGATTGGTTCTCGCTCATGGAGGCCGAAACTAGTGCACCAAGATGGCGGTACCTCGAATGTGAACAAGAATAATGAAAATATTACCTAATTGTGGTTTATCAAGAGTAAATTGTTATTTCCATCGGTCTAAAATGAAAATAGATTAAGAAATTATTCACAAACCAATCTAATTTTCGTTTTAATTGATCAATTTGTTGATGTTGTTGTTTTTGTGTGACAGACATCGCAGGATTCCTGATCCTTATCCCTCAATATCGTTCGTTTGAGTGCACTAGTTTCGGCCTCCATGGCCAGCCAAGGTCGGCTGCCAGTCAGCTGATAATCGAGTTGTCGTTACTCTGGGTATAAAGGGACTCTAATTAAAAATGCACCAAGCTACTCAACTGACACCACCATTCATACACTACTTTTTTTGGAGTGGATTGGAAGAATATATAACTAAGAAAAACTTACGGGATTCCTCTGAAAACAGAAATTGCACACCCATAATTTAGATCGATAGTCTACTTGGCAAAGTGGGTTCAATATTGCTCTACAATTACTTCTTGTGCACATAACAGGGTCATACTGGATGGGTGGAAGATCTGAAATGAAAGAAATAAAAAGTTAATTTCTCAATAAAGAATTTTTACTTACATATTCACGTTTGTTCTTTTCCCCTTTTCGTCCTCAAATTTCAAGATAACAGTCTACATAGTTTTAAAGGAGACATCTCAGGGCTGGGGACAATTTAATTATTCTTCTCTTAATGAGCTTCTTGATAAGGTATGAATTGAGGCACTTTGCAGTTTACAATCTTTTCAAAACTTCATAAGGAAAACAAATCACACAACATGAAGTCTGAGAATCAACTCCTAGACAAAATAGTAGCGTTTACTATTTGCAATGGTAAATGGCAATTCACATATGATGTAATTAGTAGAATTTAACTTCCATTTAATCTGCGTTAAAAATACTTGTTAATATCTTGTTCAGGAGTTTATTCCTGCATTTTCTGTTTTATGAATTGTTTTCTGCGCAAGATTTTAAGGAGGAGACAATGGAAATTTTAGTGTAATTTGTGATCAAAATATAGCTACTGGTTACGCACAAATGTATCTCATGAAAGAAACAGAGAAACAATTTGTTTTACCTGGTTTTTCTTTCAAAGGTTGATATAAGCAACCAATTGGTACCACTAATCTAGTAGCATCTAGTCTGCTAGATGGCCATACATTCCAAGTGAACCTGACTCCGTCTCGATCCTCATTTTGTTGAATAAATTCTTCATACGTTGTCATCTTGACAAATCTGGAAAAAAGGAATAGCAAGTTTAAGCCAGATCCTCTACTGAGCAACAGTGGCACAGAAAATAAGAGTGCTTTTGTGGCTGGAAACATGAGCTGCGATGGCACATGCATCACATTTATGATACTGTGTTTATAATCATGCAATTGATTTTATTAAAGGAATATTGATCTTCATTTGAAGATACGGTTGCCTGCCCTAGAATTTTCATGAGCATTTTCGCAACCTGTGATCAATTGCTTAAAAGATTGATCCTGCTCGCTTTCACAGTACTCAATCTGAGGATGCTAAATGCAGACTTAGAGTAAATTGTAAAATTCTGATTGCTATTCCTGATCATTTCTACAAAGCCTTAGAAGAAAGTGAATTTAGAATTTTCATGCTAAATTTCTTATCCCGACAGAAGTTTTCCTTCACCTATGTTAGAGTAACTTCACAGGAATAATACAAGGTAACTGTAAAAGAAATACTGCTTAGATGAAGGATTCAAGTGATGATGTGGTGATTCTCAGAAAACTCAGGACAGTCCGGAGCATTCAAATAGATAAATATTCGGTCCATCCGACATAAAATACAGAGGTGTCTAGAGGTGGTTTCTAGTTACTATAAGTGTCCGCAGAGTTAATATAGATTATGAATGGTCATGCAATATTTCCAGTAAATTTCAAAATTGTAGCAAGCCGTTATAATGAACGATCGAAGGTTTCACTGCACTGACTTGGCTACTTCATCACAATGCATTTCATGGGATTTACTTTAGCGCACCACTTACTGAATTGGACTTTGTCGGAAATAGCCACTAAATATGAAATAGTAGAGCTACACAGAAAAATAAAGTATACTTTAAGAGAAATCAGGAGTTTATGATGGATCAATGAAACCTTGAACTGGCAAAAACTGGATGGCTTTCGACAGTTCCAAGATGAAATGAAGGAAAGAGGCTTGAACAAAAATAGACTTACCAGCACGTTTTTACCATATCGATTTAAGAATTATTTATTAAACAAATAAACTGACGACAATCAAAAATTAAACCCTGTATAAGTTCCGTAATATAGCTGAAACTGATCCAACGTCTTCTCCACGTCATCGACTTGGACGGAAGAAAAGTGGGGTTAGAATGGTTTTGTTATGATTTTAGCACTAGTATCGAAAGTCGATAGCTGTCGATTGTATCGATATGTCGATTTGACCTGCACTAAAAGATTATTTGACTGTTTTGACTGTTTTCGCGGAATTCGACGATAGCGCCAGGCGCTAACAGAATTTGGTTTCGTTCGCGATCGGTTCCCTCTTTATCTTCCGTGACCCACATTTCCGAGAATGTAAACAGAAGGACTCCCATGGACTCGTTGAAGTGATTTCCATACTTAGGATAAAGTCTGCACGTATGATACATCAAATTATGTTATTTTTCAACGAGGAATCCGAATCTGAGCTCAGATTTTAATTATAACGGACTATAATTTTTTTTAGTCTTTACGCAACATTATTGGATAGCATCCTGGAATAGTTGTATGTGTAACGGCCTCTTTTCTATATTTATTTTTGTTATTTATATTTTCTTATTTTATTATCGCTGCCGATTTCAACCCCCCCCCCCCCCCCCCGGATGGGTAAAGATAAATCATTTTTACTTGATCTTGGATCTCACATGTGGAAACCAGTATTAAAGTGTTTGAACCATGTAAGTAATGATCTTGGTGCTGATTTACATTCGTTAAACGCGCCACCAGGTGCTTTTAGACCTTGGTTACCGATCAGATCAAGGGTGCCATTAAGTTTCTTTTTTTCTTTTATTCACTTTTGATTTCCTATTTTTAGCTTCATGAGCTCATCAGCTTGTTATTTTGTTTTGTTTTCTCTCTGTAAATTGATTTTATATCCATGAAAATTGTGAATAAGTAAATCACCCATGATAGACGTAAGGCACCNGGGGGGGGGGGGGGGGGGGGGGGCTGGGATGACGACTGCCTTTTAATGGGAAGTTGGCCTTTCGACGGGAAGGTGGTGCTGAAAAAACCGAAAACTAGTGTCGAAAACGGACTGGATTGTGTTAATCATGTACGAGCTAATTGTCAGAGTAAAAAAAAATGAATAATGGCGAAAGGAATTCAGAATGTAGGTATGGCGGTGCTCCATTTGTCTACAGGTTAGGTTACATGATTTAAAGTGGGCAAAATTGGAACATTTGAATCTAATTTATACCCTATCTGCGAACGTTGACCATCTCCTGTCTCTGGTTCTGATCCAACAAAAACTCAAATACTTGCTTATGCTGACTTACCCCCCAAAAAATTTACAAATTTAATTTAAAAATTACCATGAAAAAAAATTTAAAATTACCATGAGCGCGGCTAGGAAAATAGTGTGGAGGCCAGAGGGGCGCCTCATCAAGGAGGGCCTTGAAATTTCCACAAGCTCCAAAAGGGGCTCGATAGGACTTACTCAGCTCCGAAGGGGGGGGGGGGTCCGCGGGGGCCTTCTCAAGACATTTTTGAATGATCGAGTCATCTTAAAGAGCAATTCTGATCTGTTCTTACTGAAAAATTGATTGAAACACAATTTCAAATATTTAATACATTCATTTCTTTATCAGAATTCTTTACATTTTCTGGAGGGGCGGGGGGTGAGTAAAGAATTCTAGGGGGAGCGGTCCTCCCATAGTTCTACTAATGAAAATTACATACATACCTACCGTACATACACACACACTCACAACGGCTAATGTCTTGGACGAATACTAACCAAACGCAGCAATTTACCTACATCTTACATGAAGTTATGAAAATGCCCACCGACTAAACTGATCCACTCTAACAGCTTGATTCCTCCTTATTTTCCCTCAATTCTCGCATAAACGCTTATTTAATGGTAATTGTTGTAAATCAATAATAGAACTTTTTCAATCATGTATATCGGTTTGCGACGTCGCAAATTGCCTTTAATGTATTTTATTTTGGAAGATAGTACAAAAAAATGTTTCATGATTTTTTTTTTCACCTTTCCAAGAAATATTCTCTGAAAAGTTTCGAAAATTTTTTAATAATATTCTCTCTACTAAGTTGAGAGGGAGCCGAAATTACGAAATATTTCTAATGGAATACCGATGACCACCTATTTTTCATTAGGCTTACGATCGCCAACTCCTTGGCTTGAAATTACCTAAATACAATTAGAACAAGGAGAGAATCTTGGAAATTTTCAACAAGTTACGTCCATTAGTTTCTGATTCTCTCCCATTTAGCCGCCAAATGGCTGAAATACAATGATGCAAGTTCGATTCTCAGGCTGGTAACCTACCTAGGTTTGATGGCCTGGGGCAAAGATCATATGGGGCTAGAAAAAAAATCGATGGTATGGAACTTCTTTGGAACCATCTTGCGATAAAGTAGGTCAGAAAGAATCTATCAGATCCATGAAACTTGTCAAGATTCAATGTCGAGAAACAGTGGTTCTGAACTCGGATGAAATGTCCAACTACGTCGAAAACCTCCTTCAAAGGTAGATATAGGCAATACCCGATCGGCGTTGTAAAATTCCCCTTCAAACTGTAGAGCTAGGCATTGTGCAAGGGATGTCTGCAACGCATTACGCAATGATCAGCATTTGTTATGTCATCGCGAGCCGTGGTCGGCTGACGTAATTCCCGCAAGATCTTACCCTCTGACATCAGGGTGTTGGGACGGGGCACTGGGGCAGCATTTCCAGGGATCTCAGCCTCACTTTTAGTACGGGAGTCGTTCAGTCGTCACGCGCTTTAACCGGTGCCTGCAACTTTGGTTTTTCGATCATTTTTCCAACTTAAGTTCGACACAATGAAGAATTTTAATTTACATTCTTAAACTTTATGTGTGTTGTTTCAAAGGAATCTCAACTCTGTGGGGAAAAAGTGGAAATGCGGAACTGATTGGACCCAAAACCTATTCAATTTTTTTTTTTCTCAGAACGCATTAGTGGTTCCCTCCAAATTAAGTTTTTTCGATTGGATCGGTATTTGGCAAAGAGACTCCAAATAAAAAATGAAAATTTTCGGATAGGTAGTCTAAAATATTAAATTTTTTGAGATTTTTTTAACGACTTTTTTTTTCTCAGAACGCATTAGTGGTTCCCTCCAAATTAAGTCTTTTCGATTGGATTGGTATTTGCCAAGGAGGCTCCAAATAAAAAATGAAAATTTGCAGATAGTCTAAAATATTAAAATTTTTGAGATTTTTTTAACGACTTTTCGAAATTTTTCGAGTCTTGAAATTTTTGAAACAACACATATTTATTTTAACCCTTTTGGCTCACGATTATAGTGTGTTTTTCGAGGAAAATACACTGTTAATAGTGTAGACTTCGATGACTTGAAGGATACTTATGGTGCAATCGTGACGGAATCCGAAAAGTTTGGAATCACCGTTTCTCTTCGTCTTGTCTTTAAAGCGTAGAATCGTACATAAATTGATTTAAATTTATGGTCACAAGTTTTTCGGAAGAAGGGATTTTGTGTAACAAAACTTTTTTTATTGGTTTGGGTTCAAAAATCAATGCAGCTTCTACAACATGATCGCAAATCAAATTCAGCGACTTGACTTTATTCAGCGACGTCGCTACAAAGTTTATTAAAAACGCCACAAAAAATTCGTGGATCTGTTTTCCGATAGGAAAGTTCGAACAGCTATAATTTTTCAATGCATTACATCCCTCTAACTCCGCTGCTCAGAAAAATTATGCGCCTTCATTTCGACGCTTACGTGATAAGAGTTACACGAGAGTAAACGTTATTTCACACATTGTCCTTTTTTCCGTGACGTGAGATTTCTTGGAGGAATTTCGAGGCTTAAACAAAACTTGGGAAAAAATTATGAAGGAAAATAAAAGAAAAATCGTAGAGGTGCGGGGAATTATTGTTCATCGAAGAATTGTCAAACTTGTGAGTGCGAAGTTTGACTCCGCGGCGATTCTTTTTTTGATAAATAAAATTCATTAATTAAAAAATGTCAACTTAAAATTGTCTGGGAATCCTGTTTGACGAACCATTCTCACGAATTTTTTTCTAATTTTCTGTTATACTGAATACTGATTCATAAAAGAAATGCACCCGTTGATAAATGGAAAAATACATTTTCAGAAACACCCCCCCCCCCCCGCTCTTGTGGAACGCCTAATGTTGAAGCGCCAGTTACACTGCAGCGTAGGGCGCTAAACATTAAATTGCGGCTTGATGATATTTGTACAAGCAAAAACGAAAATGTAGGAGGAAAGTCAATGATAAGGACAAAATATGCAAGTGCCGCAAAGCTGTTGCTCTTGATAAAGTCCGGTTCAACTGCGTACCGAGTCGGGCCGTCCGCAATAGATTTTCGCACAGTTTTTCGCGGAAGTCTATCTAGTCGAACCGGCACCGGGCGCTCTGTCACTCAAATGCGTGTTGCAAAAGCCGGCACGAGTGCACAGCGCTTCTTCAACCGCCATTCATACTCGAGGAAAGTTTTCATTGAGGTTCCCGATCTAATTTAAGACTGGCGTTGACCTGATTGTGGATCGTTCGCGCCAATTTTCTCAATAGGGAGCCCTTTCCAATTAACGCCGTTACATTTGAGTTTTTCGCCTGCTTTTCTTGTTGTCGCGAGTTTTATCCCAACGCGGTACCGACCGAGGCGCACGGTTTGTCCTTTTTTTCGAGTGCGGGGTCTGTTTTAAAAGTTTTTTTAAAAGTTTTAAAAGTTTTAAACTCTTTTCTTCACTGTTTGTGACAAGGTGTTTGAAAATAGTTCAGTGTTCGCGCTCTACTGTCTAGTCTCTCTGTGCAACTGACAAGTTTTTGGTAACCAAAATGGGTTTCGGAGATGGAGTAACTCCTCTGGTGAGTAACAATCCAGCATGCTTGAATTTGAAACGTATGTTTAATTCGTCGGAACTATAAATAACAGTTCACTTTAATACAAACGCAAGCAGATATATGAATTAGGATTTACTTGCTTTCAACGTAGGTGACGTTTTCTGACTGCATAGTTAGAGGTCGCGTGGACACATTGTTATTTTGCCTTCAATTTTCGAGGTAGGCCACATTACACCCTTTTTGCAGCGAAATAGTTATCTAATTGAAAATTTGTGTATTTTGCT